TCGTCCATGGTAACTTCTCACCAGCATTTCAATGGTGGAGCCTATAGCCCCCTGTCCGACATGATCCCACAAAACGGTTGGCTTGTTAACTAACATCTTCGTGAGGAGTGTTCCCAGGATTCCGTTATAGTTCTTGACCTTTCCGTTAGTTTGCGGGTGGTAAGGTGTGGTTACACGATGTTTCGATTTCAGTTTTCGAAGGAAGGTCTTCATGACTTCCCCCACGAACCGCGTTCCGTTATCCGAAAGGAGTTCTTGAAAGGGCCCGTAGACCATCGTAATGTTGTCGTGTAGAGCGAGAGCTGCCGTTTCTGCATGCGCGTTGGCTAAAGGTATCGCAATCGGCCATCTTGTGAGGTATTCGATAGCTGTGAAGATCCAGCGATTCCCTTGGGGGGTTTGCGGAAGGATACCGTTAAGGTCGACAGCCCAGCGGTCGAAGAGTTCTAAGGTCGCGCTTGCGAGAGTCTGTGGCATCTCGCGTTCCTGACTGATTAGTACAAGGTCGTTGGGCGCATTGACACTCCGGGCACAATTTTGCGAAGTTCTTGATATCTCCTTCGAGGGATCGCCACCATCCACGACCGGTTACGACTCCCATCAGCCCAGGGTAACCGAGATGACCGCATTCATCGTGCATCCTTTCGACGAAATCGGCCTATTAGTGGTCCATCGCTATCCGTCGTAAACCAGTCCTTTTCCTTGTAAATGGATTTGCGAAAGGATTCTGGAGGTTCAACACCCTTCTCAATAAGCTGAACCATATATTCAGCCCACTCGTCCTCGTCCAAGTGCGGCAGTGCGAATGGTTACGATGACTGCTGCTCGGTTACGAGGCCCTCTACTCATCCAGTCTGATCTTCGACTAATCGCGTCGGGTATGGTGTTTTCCTTCCCCTTCCGGTACCGAATATCCAAGGAGTATTCTCCGAATTCGTCAATCCACCTCGCGAGCAGTTTCGATGGATTCTTCATAGTTGCAAGATATTTCAAGCTTTTGTGGTCGGTCCAAACAATTATCGGGAATCCGTTGTCGATATAGACGCGCCAGGTCTGCAGAGCGTACTTGATCGCTAGTAGTTCCTTCTTGTGTACTGGGTAATTGGCTTCCGCCGGAGTAAGTTTTCTTCCGTCGTAAGCGGCCGGGTGCAGCTCGTGAGTTTTCGTGTTTCGTTGCGAGAGTCTGCAACCAATGGCCCATTCGCTGGCGTCGGCGTCAATTTCAAAATCGCCACGTGTGGTATCTGCCTGTGCCAGAACAGGCTCGGACGCTGCTAGTTCCTTAATCTTCGTAAAAGCCGCCTCCGCTTTGGCAGTCCACGTAATTTTTGGAACCTTCTTCTTGCGGAGCTCGCTGTCGGATTCCTTGAGGAGCTCAAAAAGGGGTAATACAGCGTTCGTAAAGGAGGGGAACGCTTCGCGGTAGTACCGAGCGATACCCAGAAATTGGCGAACTTCGTGTACGTTGGTTAGGCGTGGCCAGTCAAGAATTACTTGTACTTTTGACGCAATCGGGTCGTTGAAGCCGCTACCGACGATAAAGCCACAGAAATCCAATTCTCTGGCCGCAATAACACATTTCGATGGGCGAGCGAATAGAGTGTTCTCCCTTAGGGCTTGAAGAACTAGTCGCAAATGTTCGTAATGTTCCTCAAGAGAGTTGGAGAAGATCTCAACGTCGTCCAAGTATACGATAACGAATCGGCCGAGGTAAGGACGCGGGATACGGTTCATTAGGGTCTGAAAAGTTGCGGGTGCGTTAGTCAAGCCAAAGGGCATACCAACATACTCAAATTCGCCTTCCCTCGTGTTGAATGCTGTCTTTTCTCGATCTTTCTCCGCTACTCGTATCTGGCAGTATCCTTGCGTCAAGTCAAGATATAGGCTTGAAGCAAAGAAAACTCACCCAATGCCGTATTATGACTGATAATTCCCTCAATCTACGGGAATATCCGCCACTTGACGACTCCATCGTAGCATTTGCGGCGAGATTCGACAAAATTTTTCGGCCGAAGGAGAGAAGGGTAGTCCAAACTTCTCTTCATTGAAAGAATGCTCTGATCTCCTTGGGTCAAAGGATGGCATCAAGCCTGTCTATATATCTATCTAACGAGTGTACGTCACCGTTGTTGCCTGTCAATGGTGATACAGTCTGGTGAGCGAGTGTTGCAAATAACCCGGTTACTCGTGAACGATAGGCCATCAATTTTTCAATAGGTAGTTTCGGGGGGCCGTCAACGCTTCGAGAGCGGGAAAATGGAGAATTTTCGAGCAAGATGTAGGAAATCGTAGAAGTTCTCAACAAGATGGAGGAGAGTGTATTGCTCGTAGAAGCGTCGTGAAGGGATAATAGATAGTGCAGCCCCGAGGCTAAAGCCTCAGGGCCTTGCTGTCGTGTCCCAACGGTTGTAATCAGTCGTAAAGTTACAATTGTGGCCGTTTTATAGGCGTCGTCCTTGGCGTCTTGGCCAGAATCACGGGTGTTTGAGACAAGGGTTGTGGCTTGGCATTTGGGGGGTGGCACCCTATTTGATAGATGTCGATATTCCCCGATATCGACGTGACCCACGCATCGGATCTAGTTTGTGGACCACCCAGAGAAGCTCTATTAATCACACTCGACATACTGCAGTTCACAAATTAGATCCGATGAAACACCACCACCATCGGACCCAATCTGTGGATCATGTGGCCAGGGGGCACCCTACTCTAACACTCACGGAATACTCTTATACTGACTTCCGGTAGCTGTCTTTGAAAACATCGGCGAGGTTTATTCTTCCATCCCATTTCCTTTCTCGCACTGGATTAAACTAAGTGATAAAACTGCTCTTGTAGCGGTGCATTCCAGTAATTAATTCACTCCTAGGCCCGATGCAGCAGTAAGGTAGATTCTGAGGGAGATCCGGATAACGTCTGTGGAGACAGAAAAGATCCCCCTAAATGCCCACCTGATGGACCCCCACGGCTTGATCTAAATGAGGAAAGGATGGAGGCTTTCAGCAACAATAATATGCCTGGCGCTTACGACGAATCCACCTTCTGCGGACGGTTTTTCGAACATCAATCCTTACGCGATGTTGAAAAACTTGGAATTCCGAAGCGGAAGATGAACATGTGGGACTACGACAACCGGGCGCGTGTCTTTCTTCATGAGGTGACACGTCTGGATTATTTTGTTCAATGCTCCGTCTCAAACCCCATTTATAGACGACCTCACCATAGCGTAGAAAAAAAGGCAAGAAATTCGGCCTTGATAGCGTCTGCGGCCCATTCAAAGCCAAGGTCTTAGCAAATTATAGGACCAGCAGGGGGTGGCTTCTACACCCAGCGCAACGGTATGTTTTTCTTAAACCGGCTATGCTTTGCGTCTTATTGGTTGCAAAAGGAAGTTCTTACGCTGACCGAAATCCTTGAAACAGCTGGTAATTATGCCTGGTACGCAATTGACAAAGTATATCTGGGAAAAGTTAGGAGGCAAAATGTAGGTTCAACTTCACAGCACAGGTCCTCAATCAGCTAGCATCGAAAAGCTTTTGCGCTCTTACTCCTTCCCACTTTGACCGTCGATCTCCTCTTCAAGTCGTATAAGAAAGATACTAATAACTATATACGCGTGTCAACAGAGATGATTACCCATCGGACCCGCAATCATGTGGTGTCAAGCCGATTAGGGCACCCACAAACAGATACAAAAAAAGGAGAAGAGCTAGATGTTGGAGAAACCACTGACCCAGCTTTTGTGGGTGTTACCGATATCACACTTCCTTCAATGGGATAACTGAGGAAGAGTTTGACACCAAAGTGCAGTGGTACAATCACCAAGGATGTATTGAGCAAGAAATAGTTGAGTGCGGCTGATGGATATTGTTGAAAAAGACGGGCCCTTGTTACGGCACAACCTGGCAGGCTCATCAGGGCCTGCCGGGTGCCTGCAGGATAACTATTGGTGCCTGCCATTGACCCACTCTGGCTGTCGATAGCCTTGTGTGCCTGCGAGGGAGCCTTGTGGCATGACTACATCACAAGGTGTCAAACTGGGGAACAACCTGAGATGTATTGAATGCTCTGTCTACCTCACAACCGGTCCTGCCAGGTTGCTGGTATATATACACGTTGGGTTGACCCCCTTTTTCTCCTATTTCTACCCCTAAATCCTGCCGAGGAGTGATAACCCCTTTTCCAATAAAGGGGCACTTGCTACTATTCAGCCGTTCGATGAGACCTTGTTCGACACAAGGCTATAAGTATCTAGGATAGCCTCGTACTGCTTTCATGTTCTTTGTCTCTCGTCTTGTACTTTATAGTGCATTGGATAGTAATATCATTGTCGGATCTCCACCCTCGTTCTATAGTACGTCTCCACCCTGACAGATATTCTGTAGTTCTGAAAGCAAGGCTGGTTCACTATGCCCCAGTCACCGCATTTGTGAATGCGTAATGGCCACGCTTTCATTGAGTCTCAGTCACACCTTTAGATGCCAGTACCGGTTCTTAGCCTGAAATATTCTGTGTTACGAAGCGTGTAGATGTGTGTTAAGGAGTTCGTTCCAGGATCAAGGCCAAGAAGCATGGTACAGAGAATAGGCGCCGAGGTAGCCAGAGTCTCTAGTCTTGGCGCTGATATCAGTAAGGCTGTGATGGAGCCCATTCTTGGAACCAGCCAAAAATATTCTATGTTCGACTCCAGAAGTAATTCGAGCCTGCTGTCCCTATAGAAGACGAGACCAGGCCTCCCAACGAGGGACAAACGCCGCCTGGAGCTAATTTTGCCCCGCTCAATCTTTTCAGCGACAAGGCGATATTGGCACATCTTGGCACAATATGTCTACGTAGTATATGACTTCAACTCATCAATCTATCTCACACTGCTTAGTAAACCTCCAGTATCATCGCCGCTATCACAATTTGGTCATTATCTAACAACATCTCGCCAATCAAGCAATCACTACTACGATTTTGTTACCTTTCCCCGAACCCCAACCCAGATCCACAGAACCATGTCCTCCGAACCACCGCCCCTCCAAACCTTCAACTGCCACTGCGGCAGCATCAAATTCTCCGTCCACAACGATCTCTCCCAAATCTCAGACTGCACCTGCTCCATCTGCACCAAAACCGGCCGCATGCACATCCGCGCATCCTCCTCACCCTCCGTACCAGGCTCCTTCCATCTCGCATGGCACAGCCCAGCCTCATCAGAAGCGGCGGCCCTCCCCCACCTCTCCTCCTACTCATTCGGCTCCAACCGGCTCATCACCGACTTCTGCCCCACCTGCGGCTGCCACATTCGCGTCCGCCTCGCCCCGACTGACACAAACGCGGACACACCGACGCGCGCTCTCAACGTGCGCATGATCCAAGCTCTTGAACCATGGTCCTTTGAAACTACTGAGACCCTCACTGCGCCAGCCAAGTTTCCGCCGGCTTACATCGAGCCTGAATTCAAAGGTACGAATTTCACGGACGAAGAACTGGGGGGAGGGAAGGTGAAGTATCAAGGCAGCTGCCACTGCGGCGCCGTCACTCTCTCTTTACGCACTCGTCCGCTTTCCGAACTGATGATCAGGGAATGCAATTGTAGTTTGTGTTGGCGGAAAGCGCTGATTCACTGTCCCGTCGAGAATCAAGAGGATGTGAGGGTCAGTGGGGTGAAGGAGGCAGTGGTGGTGTATAAGCCGGAAAAACTGAATCAGGGGTTGTTTTGTATGAACTGTGGGGTGCAAGTTGTCACGAGGGGTCAAAATGGGAACGTGTATGCGGTGAATTTGAGGACGATGCATGGGGTGGATTGGGAGGAGGTTGAGGTGGGGAGGGCGAAAGGGAGGGAGCTTAGCCCTGAGTACAAAGTGGGTGGTGAAGCGACGTAGAAGGAGGTTGGGACGTGTGAGAGAGAAGGGAATGCATTGGGAGTGTGCATTTTTGACTCTTCATTCTTCGGATCTATTCGAATCGCAGTTCGGCACCGGTTACAGAACAGGCCCCCATTGAGGAACGTCGGCCGGTTCATGGGAATTAAATGGATCTTATGAAGAATGCACGATGTAGATAGTGGATATGCTGCCTCTCCGAGGTTCTAGGCGGCCGAACTACTGACTCATACCCACCGGAGGTTAAGAAACGCTATGCCTGCAGTTCGCCTGCGCAACTTCACCTTTATACCGACACGTTCGATTACAGGTACGAGGGTGCCGGACTTCAATTCATTGTTGCGCCCTTCCCGCTAAGTAACAGTGACCCTGTTCGCCCCGCGGTTGTAACTTTATCCAATGGCTAGCTCTCTCTCCACTCTAAGTTTTGCTTACGAAGGGCCTCGGTGACTCACCTCGACGAGTCGTCGAGGTCTGGTAGCCCCTTCTGAGGTTAATTCGAGCACGGGGGGGCTTCGGTGACGTACACTCGCAGTTGCGAACTTGAAGGAGAGCCAGACTTTCGCGGCAGGTACAAACATCAATTAAGCAGCTAGGCTTATCAAATTTTGAGATGTTATGTTGGGACCATCTCACTCTCCAAGTCTTCCAAATGTGGAATGGAGACCTCTCCCACTACCCCCGAAGGGATCGCCCCTTCCAACCATTCATCCCTCGTGAAGGTTCTCGGATGTTGCGCACTTCGCTCGATAGAGGGTCAAAGGGGCCATTCATCTCTTATCACACAAATTTGTGGTCTACCGCCTTTGAAGCTTCCTGGAGAAATCCCTTGGACGACAGTAGGGGTGGTTGCTCCAACTCTCTAACCACATGCCTATGTATCCGAATATCAGTGTGAAGAGTGCCGAAAGGTTGGGAGGCGGAGATGAATTCAAAATTTTACGGGAAGCGCTTACCTGGTTAAACAGTCATCAACACTCTTGACAAAGAATGCTGATACCACAGAAACCACTACAGACAAATCACGTTTAGTCTCTTGTTCAATACCCGGCGGACCACTCGGAACAGCCAATGCTCACCTCCGAAAGATGTGCTGACGAGGAAGACTGTGCTGTACCTCCCGGCATAGAGAGACTGGACGGCATCTTCAGTGGTCTTGGGGATGTTTGGAGTGATACCTCGGACTTTTTCAATGGCCTGCTGGTTTCCACTTAATATTGCCTCTGAGGGTCGTGACGGCGGTATCAGCACAATTTACTCGTCAATGTCAGTTTTCAACTCGAGTTTCGACTTACGCAGCAGCGCCGGGACAGAGCTAGCGGGTAGGCCAGCTTCCAGTGCCGCGACGGACACATCCGAGGCAAGATTGGTGTTTGTGTGTTGGCGAAAGATGCTGCTATATATCGCTATCGCTATACATCCGCCCACGGTTCGAAAGGATCCTGATAGCCTGCAAGCAGTCCGCTCTGGCCGCCATGAAAGACTCCAGACTGTTCCTTCTTACCCAGTCGCGACGCCAATGTAGTGATCTTCGGCACCAAATTGAATGATCAGGGTCGCCAGAACTTGGGAAGCACCCACAAAAAAGGCTCCGATGCTCACAAGGACGATGGCCCTGGGTGGTGCATGTTAGGAAATAGAGGAGGCAGAAGCGGTAAAGGCACACATCAGAATGGCAACCACGAAGAACTGCCATCGCGTATGCTTAATTCGAGCGACCAGAATGCCCGATACCATTGCTCCGGCTAAAATTCTGTTAGCAGCATTCGTCGCTGCAAGTTACGACCGACAAACTTGTAGCGGCGCAATTATACGCCAAACTGTACCACCCAATCGTTTGCGGAACTGTGGTAAACAACGTTCGGACCGCTAGGCGCTCATCAGCAAAGGAAGCATCAATGCGGTTCAATCGTCTGGTGTACCCTGAGGCCACAATACTTGGGCTGATCAACTATTCAAGGAGTGTCGGGTGCCTGCGCATTTCGTCATGGTGCTTTGAGGCTCACCGCCATGCCCGACACAAATATCGTACACATGGGAAGAGTGAAGCCCTTGACATTTTTGAATATTTCTGGTGGGCAAAGCTTCATGATGTTCCAGGGTAAGTAGATCTCCCAGAGTGGCAGGAGGACAAATGTAGTCACAGCTATGCGGTGCGCCATCGTCAACCGAGCTCCTGGCTTGTCGGCGTGAGAGAGACTTACCGTCGATCAGCAGAGGGGAGAAAACTACGTCGCATGTCCCAAGGTGAGGATTTCCACCGAGTTCTATCCCAAGCAGAAAGCTCGTCTAGCCACCGGCGAAGAACAAGAGGCCACAAAGTCCAGTTCCTTGAATTGTTGAAGTCGACTTTTACCTTCTGGGTGCAGTGAAAGAAATCCTGGCGACCAGTAGAAAAGAAATGGTGAGGACCAACGCTACACCGCTTGACATTGCGCCAACTAGAATGTCCGACGCCAGCCCAAGTTGCCCACGAGAGCATAAGCTGAATGATTGCACAACGTCAGATTCACCAGAATTGCTTTAAATGCGCAAATATGGCTTTCAGCACCTGCCAATGACCGCTCCAAATGCCGAGCCGGGTGGTGCAGCGAGGCTGAGCGAAGCTGCGGTTTCTCCTCGTCTTTTCGGCACGATCTCGCTGGCACCTGCGTAGGCCAACTGTTGCGGCCCAGCCCCGATGCCCTGGAGATTGAGAGCTTTTCCCTGGCTAGAGACGCGAGAAGACCCTTACCTGGAGGATCATACCCCCAATGATGAATTTGATAGAGGACGCTTTTCCTCCGGGTTCAGTCCCGACATCGACCATCTTCTAACTCGGACCACTCTCACCTTGCAGCCACAATGCACCCACGAACGACGTGAGCTTTGAAGTTCCATGTCTTCAGCTTCCACTCTTAGGAAAGTACTTACCAATCATCCCAAGCACATTGCCAGCAATGGTAAAGTTCCTGTGTCCGAAGATATCCATGCAACCCCCCCGCAACAGTCTGGATGACTGCAATAGATAGGGTTCCAGCTGTAGGGATCCAGTCGAGAGAGGAACTGGGCCCTATATCGTCGTTGATGTAAAGAAGGATGGTAACAGGAAGGATGTATGAAACTAGGTGGGCTTCGTAGGAGAATGCGAGAGCCTGTGACAGACATGTCAGAAGAGATGGCAGCTACCAGGGGAGAAGAGTCCAGATTTTGCGTACAATGATGGCCCAGACAAGGTACGCCAGTCGACATTGCGTTCCTGGTACGCGGTAACTTCTTGACTCGGTGTGGATATCTTTGCGATCACTCATGTTGAAGCCGCGCCCTGAAACGATTCCACCTCGAACTTGCGAAGGCAGCTGTCCAGTGCCTTTGGAGACTAACTCGAGTTTCCGTGGGATATATATGCCATGACCCACAAGCCGGACAACATGGGGAGAAACAAGGGGAACTTCCCCGGTCAGAAAATCTGGCGAAGACTGAATCTTCACCCGAGGTAAATGTTGCATGGATCGGATAACGCTGGGCTGGGAGATTGGATGAGTGGTAAATGCTTCGGATATCATTTCAATCTTTGCCAAAAAGGTCGTCTCCAGAGAATTCTCCCCATGGCATAGGGATGCCAGTGAGGGAGTCACTGGTAGCAACATATGCAAAGATTTGAGGGTCTAACGAGGAGTCTGACCTCTGGTTAAGCCTTTGCCATACCATGGCACGACGATTCACTCCGTTTCCACCTTTTCGGGCTCTTGGGGGTCTGCAGTGGACAGCTGACCACTTAGGTCGTGAACTAGACTCGACGTGGGAATGACCTCCACACTTCAGGGCCTCCTGGCGTCCTTTCCGCCGTCGTCAGACGAACGAATTTTATGCTACCTCGGAAAGGGGGACGAATCCACTCTTCTGATATTGAGTTACGAGCGCCGGAGTAGTGTCGTATCCTTCTTGTGGCCAAAAAAAAAAAAAGACCCATACAGGCTCTCAATCTGCACAATGCTACTTATCCCAAGGCTTCGTCGCCACATCTCAAGTGCTAGTGATGCCTTGATAGACTGCCCGTTCCAGCTCGTCGTATAGAGCGATCACGACTGGATCTACCATGGGTAACACCTGTGTAAACAAAGTACCCGCAATACCAGTCTCCAGATCAATCCACTGCGAATGGGTGCGTGAGCGAAGAGAGCTAGGTTGCTGCATAGGGTGTGAGGAACTTACCCAGTGAGAATTTGTGTAGCCGCTCCACATCACGCTGCCCTTTCGACGTTTTCCAGGCACGTCTTCAAGATTGACCGCACCTCCCAATGCGTAATTGACCGGAAGGCACCGGGGGAACTCGGGGCATATGGCATCGTGGAACGGTCCGTCGCAAAAGGCCTGAAGATCTTTGGTGTCCCGCAATTGAGGACGAAATAGCTCCTTGACGGTTGCTGGCTTTATGAGGACCCCGTCGTTGCTCACGAGCGCCGCCAATAGATTCGAATAGTCTTGAGCTGTGGTAAATAGACCGGCGCCTCCGCTGATTTGCTTTGGCTGTAGAGGGGCTGGGTCGTCGCCGGTCACGAGTTTCCCATCCAATGGGGAGCGGAAGGCGACTATTGCTCGACGGCTCGCAAGCTCGGGGTGTCCCGATATGAAGAAGGTAGATGATACCATCCCCAGCGGCTTAAACACATGTTCCTGGGCGTAGGCTTCAAGCGTGCTGTTGCTGACAACCTCGACGACGCGAGCCGCCCAGTCGCTTGAGACTCCGTACATCCAACTCTCGCCGGGTTCAAATTTGAGCGGGAACGTGAAGCCTTCGAGGCTGTGGGACTGGGATGTCACAGTCCTGCCGACCGAAGTGGACCACTTTATCATTTCAGGGTCGAAATTATCGTAGCAAAAGCCGCTTGAATGGGTAAGGAGATTGCTGATGGTGTCGTCAGTGGTGTCGTTCCGCTGCTCAAAGAATAAAACAGTCAACTTACCGAAGCGTCAACGGCTTGCTTTTCTCGACCAGGATCGCGTTGCCTTCGTTATCAAACCCGCGCAATATCTTTATGTCAGCGAGATCTGGCACTATTTTGCCGACGTCGTCGTCCAAATCCACCGCACCCTTCTCCACCAACTGCATCACACAAACCGCGGTGAGGAGCTTCGTCAACGATGCCACCCAGCAGGGCGACTCTGTGGTGAAAGGTGGGGAGTCATCACCATCGTTCAATTTCCCATAAGCATTCGAATATATCGTAGCTCCTACATAGCCTCCCGTTAGGACTGTGCAAGGGTGGTCGAGGGATTGGCGGGTCAGTACCACTTCGGTCTCTCAGGACGAGCCCGGCCGCCATCAATTGCTTTGCTGACGGTGATGCTTCAACATACTTCTGCAAGATGCTGTCAAGCAGGAGATGGTCGATATTCAATTTGGGAGTGTTCATTGTTTCCAGAGGAGGGTCCCGCGTGAACCCACGTGCCTGCATTCAATGTACCACTACTTGTAAACGGGTGTCTTTGCTACCTCGAGCTTTTTGTATCAGCTTTCGATAGGAAATTTTAACGATCTAGCCTTCTGCAATCTCTAAGAGTCTGGGGAGTACTGGGGGGTGTCGGCGTGACTCGGCAGATGGCAAGTACCTCCACGTAGGCAGGGCCCTCTCGACCATAGGATAAGTGAGTATGAGTCTAGACCACGCGCGTTGTGATGACACCCACAAAATCGCCAAGGGCCCCAGGGGTGTCAGACGAATGAGTTCCCAAAAATGCCGGTGTTGGAGACAGAGTGGATCTGCGACTCACCGGCGATGACTCGCTCCCCTCGGACGAGACGAGATCAGGGATACATTTCAAGAGAGCCATTTAACCCCCAGCCACGAGAGTGGATGCAACCGTACGTCCAGCTACGTCTACGCTCCAACGAGCCAGCGACATTGATGGTACACAATTCCCGCGGCTACGCTGATTCCTCGGGCCTTGTCTTCATACCTTCGCTGTCGCTGGTTGGAGCAGGACGTACACTTTGACATCACCTTTGTGGGGCCCAAACCATGATCAGAAAGGCATTCGGACCGTCGAAATCGTGCATGACCGAGGCATAATAGATCCAATACCTAGGTATTTCCCCAGAATCGCTCGTCATAATAAGCTCTTCTACGATGTCTGCGGCTGATTCGAAGGTGGTGGTCTCGAAATGCGAAGATACTACAAATGATGGCCTGGCTCAAGACGCACTGTCGTTTGTTTTTCAGGTGCACAAGAACACGCGTCCGTGGTGGTGCTATTTTGCCATTTTAACTGGGGACGGTATGGATCCCCCCTGTATTCTTACGGCAAATGGATTGAGGGCATGCCAACCGCTGTCGAGATCAATACCTTCTATCATCAGTCCCAACTCGTAAACGCAGACTACGAAAGTGTGGTCCGCCCGAATGCAGAGACCCTGTACTCCATGGCCTTCCTCGATCTCGCCGGATCCGGCTTGCAAGATGCAATGACGCTTCTGTTGGAGAATGGACACGATCCAGATCCATACACTGCCGACGGCCAAACACCCTTGTTGTGGGCGGCCAACAAGGTCCGAAGAGTTAGCGCGCTGCACATGACCCGGGAGGGAGAGGGGGGAAGCGAAACCTTTTGGAACCGACCTCCGTAAGTTGGTGGCTCGCTTATAATCTGCGTTAATCGGTAATACTCATAGTATTACGAGTTGTAGTAGGTCGAATTGTAGTACTACAACCATCGAGACCTATCTGGGGGAGAATAAGCTCCATTCAGTGTTGTCAGTTGGAAGTCATCCTTGATTGCCATGGAGAATCTCCTGGGTGGTGAACTACACCCGTCTCTGAGGACTCGAATGACAGCACATCGAGTATGGGCAGCAACCGAACGGCTTCCATCATCAGAGAGCACGCACAAAACAAGTTCCTCGAGCTTCGGACAGCCTTGTCTTTGACTTGTCGTTTTACGATACGAGATGGCGGTGACCTTGTTCGTAAAGATGAGCTTCTCGGGAAGACGCTGAGATGTCAGGGCTTTCGCAAAAAGCGGACAATGCAGAAGCTCGAGGACATGCTTGACAAAGACATGTCACGAGTGGTTGATGTCTACCCACGGGTCACTGATCCCAAAAACGTGAAATCGCAAAAGCGATGATAGAGACCGAGAACGTGACATGGGAGGAGAATAGTCCACATTCTGACCAGTCTGCTTCTGAAATATACGGCTGGGAGAAAGAGACCGGAGAGCAAGACGATCTGCGAACATCTTGATCACACAGAAGAGTCATGCGCACACAGCCTCCGACAGATGATCAGACGTTTTAAGCCTGGCAACGCAACACATCGCGACTGTTCTTCATTGCACCTCGATAAGATAGCGCAGTGGGAGGAAGCAATAGTCCAACATTGCGGAATCGGTGGCATTCTGCACCCAGACATCGATACCGGCAGCCCAAATGGGCAGCTGGACTCCTGCGGTGACGCCGTCTCCGTGATCTATTCAGCCTGGAGCACAAAGGAGAAGTCTATGTTCTCCAGAACTCACACGTCTCCCTTCTCAAGCCTATCCCGGCTGTATTGGTCAGTAGCTGGGTGGTATTTCAATCTCCTGATACAACCCTGGTACAAACTCTGGTACGCGATATGGAAACCAGTCGACTGGCATAAGCCTATAATGCACAATCACAGATGAGTCATGATCCACCAAGCCGTGTTTGGAGAAGTACACTCCCTTTTATGCTTCGACCACGCTGGGGCCCCGAAATCTGGGACTGCAATCTCTTGCAATACTGTGTTTGCGCCCTCAAATCGGTCCGTCCGGCGATGGAAGATTTGAACAAGCTGGGTAGCTGTTGCGACTCGTTTCCCAGCATTCACAAGCTATCATCTCTCTCATGGGAGGCTCTCAACGGTGGACATTAGCTTCGGAGAAATCTTGACATTGAGTTAAATGTTGGGTGAGCTTCTGAGCGTGGACGAGCCTAATGAACTTCTCAGAGAGGAAGCATGGAGATCAGGACTGTGCAACGGGATCCTCGACATGTTTGACAAGCTGTTTGGGAAGAAGGAAGACGCCGTCTTGCCTCTTCACCAATGCACGAGAGTGTATGGTATCGCGAGTTACGCGCTGCACATGACTGCTTTGTTTGCGCAAATGTTCTCGGTCGGGCTTGTCACATACTCTGGAGGGCATGGCTCAGATTTGTATATGGCTCGCATCTCGCGCACGATCAAAAGGTTCCGCCTCCTGGGCGTTATGCCCACCGCTTCAGGCACTATTGTCGAGAGAGTAGAGCTCTCCTGTCTCGGAGGACTGGTACTAAAGCCGGTGTGGGCTTTCAAATTGGATCCAATCCCCGAATTGACGGCCTGGACGCGAGGTGTGGTCGATCCTGGAAGTATATATCGAGTTCGACATGATATCGAGGCGAGAATCTGCCAGCTGCTCGATATTTGGGATACCACGATTGTTATCGATGACAAACCGGTGACAGAGCGTGTCAAGCTCCGTATGGGCAACGGGTTTTCTCTCAGAAGCCAAGCGGCCGATTTTCTCATTCACGGCACACGATAATTGGTTGCACTGGTCCTCTCAGGATAATGGAGTGGGCCTACCAATACATCATCTTGAAGACGGGTTCAAGATGGTTGTGGGAGCCATCACTATGAATCAATCGTGCTTACTATCACGTCGCGACTGCGAAATCGACCGAGCTGGCATCCTGGTCGGGTAATGTTATTCTGTACACCACATTTTGTTATTCTGTACACCGCTTTTGATTGGTCCGGATTTTTATTTTTCCGGTTATCTGCGCAGTTCGAAGATACGTGATGTCACAACACCTAAGTCTGCCTATATAGAATGCAGAAATGATGGTTAACGATGGTATCCTCTGCACGGTCGATACCTCGTGCTGACTAAGGTAACAAACCAGCGCCCATAGGCTTGGGTGGGAACCGCCCATAAGCGGGGCAGTTGCCCCCCGGCTTATGGGCGGTTTCCCCCCGGTTCATGGGCGGTTTCCCCCTCCGGCTTATGAGCGGTCCTCCCAAGCCTATGGGCGCTGGTTTGTTACCTTAGTCAGCACGAGGTATCGACCGTGCAGGGGATCTCTACACAAATCCGGCTGTGTAGGCCACAATAATTTACAAAGTATACAGAGAAGCTCAAAATGCACGGTACTTATCTACCAAGGAAAAGGGAATCAAATGTGTTTATTGCTTCGCAACCACCTATAACGGGGAGAGTTTAACGCGTCACCCCTCCACAGCTACGCCACTTACTAGTGTTTTCTCGCCATCGCCGGGCCAACGGCAACAAGCTCTGTTAGCGCGGTGTACAGAATAACAGGATGAGAGCGTTAAGTGTACAGAATAAGGCGAGAGAGAGGTGGTGGTGTACAGAATAAGGAGAGTTGAGGCATGGTGTACAGAATAAGCAGGTTTTCCGGTGTACAGAATAACAAAAGTTGGTGTACAGAATAATACCCCCCATCCTGGTCAGCTTGCGAACTCAAGCTGGCCGCTGGAAAGTACACACTAGGAACACAGGCATCACTGTGGGTTTCAGTGGCCAATGGCTCCTGGAACCGTGACATTCAATGAAGTGCGATGCAGCAATGGAACGAAAACCCGAACCCGCCCTTGAATATGCTCAACGAGCCGTGGGGTCTGGAATTCAGCCTCTACACAGGCGTTGCAAGGAGGGTGCCCCTTCGAGCCCTCTTAGATGAAACTGTGGTTTCTTACCTTCAGACCATAATCACCACTCCGTTACTGGACGCCGATCTCATTGAAGGTATTGGGCACGCTTCATCCGACGATGCTGCCAGCAGAATCTACAATCACATCGCCAGAACCGTCGAGGGCCACCGACCGAGGTATCAAATTGGATGATTCGTCGTATAAGAGTGGGTCATGCATCCAATTCTCGAAGACACCGAGATCAGCGCCCCATTCGAGCTTGCGACTTTGCGATGCCTGGAGGACAGTCGGACTGGGACCATGTGTCGAAATCCTCCTGAATCAACCGCCCCAAAAGAGCTCAGCCAGAAGTCAAATTTTGTTCTCTACACTGGTATTTGACCATACACAAGACCGCAGACGTTACAAGGTGGGTGTATTTAATGATTGAAAGCAAAAGGCGACGAGACATGTGTTCAAGGTTCATGGACTAGCAACCCCCGAACAACCTGCATATGTCCTCGAGTATGGGCGAAGCAAATAAATCTCGAGGAGAGGGAGGGTGCTGAGTTGATCGAACCTGGGAAAGAAGTAGTCCAGGGATTTCGATGCTTCGAACTACGCCTTCGTTGAGTCACGGAATACCTGCATCGAGAAGTGGATGAGCGCCGAAATGTCACTATGCTCGAATTTTCCTGTGATGTAACCGCTCTAATCACAAATCTAGAAACGATAGCGATTGACAACAAGTATCTGTATTCTTCGGCCCTCGAGTCTTCGAAAGGAAAACCTTTGGACTAGCAGATGGCTGGATTCACAAGGTGACTCCTATGGCTTCCACAAGGATATCGCAGCGGTAAATCAACGTTCTAGGAGAACGCGATCGCATTTGTTTTAATTTCTGGCCAAGTCAAATTCATTCGGTTCGGTAATCGAGAAGTCTCTGATGTCCCTTATAAATACCAGCAACCTGGCAGGACCAGTTGCTAGATAGACAGAGCATTCAATACATATTCTCTTGACATACCCAGTTTGATAGGATATGATTGAGCACCAAAATGACGGTCCGTCCTTATCGAGACCGCATTTGCCGCTTTGAAGAAAATCGACAGCGTCGACTTTAGTAAGACTCGGTCGACTTACATATACCACGTGGGTGATGGTGCGTCCTGACGGTGTAGATAGCGTTGGAGTTGCTAGGCGCTCAGCTCAGCAGCTGGCACTTCATCGCGCAGTGGGGTGACATCACGGTGTTGCATAAAAGCCCGTCGCTCCCTCCAGTGCTGTGACCACTCCCCGGGCTTGAGGGCAGAGACAGGGGACAGACAACTTCATAGATCGCTCTAAAATGGCCAACATCATTCTGTCTATCAACGCTGGGAGCTCATCCTTGAAAACCACCTTGTTTATCGAAGAAGATGAGCGTCAACTGCGGCGACTTGGCAGCGCGGAGGTGTCCTCACTGAATGCTCCACCTGCGAAGCTCAAATACTCCCGGGGCTCTTATAAAGCCACCAGCGAACTCAGCGAGGTCCACGACCACAAAGACGCGTTCCAAAGCGTTCTTCATTCATTCCTCTCCGATACGGAAATCCCCGAGCTCTCGGCCAAGGAAGACATCCATTATGCGACGCACCGAGTGGTTCAAGGCGGTGAGGAATTTAATGAACTTACTCTGATAACCAGGGAGACATTCGAGAAGATCAATAAGCTGTCGGACCTGGCACCATTGTATGCACTCCGTTGCCCTTCGGCATGTCGTTGATCCCACTACTGATCCATGGCTGTCCAGACACAATGCCTCGGCCGTCAGCCTCATGATCGCTTGCCATGACCATCTTCCCAAGGTCACCAATGTCGCGTGTTTTGACTCGGGGTTCCACCATACCATGCCCGATTATGTCAAGTGTTATGCCATCGATCAGTCGATTGCTCAAGAGAAGGGCTTACGCAAATATGGCTTCCACGGACTCAGCTACAAATACATGACCAGGAGAGTCGCCGAGTATCTGGGCAAACCGGAGTCCGAGACCAGTCTGATAGCACTCCATTTGGGCAGTGGAGCTTCTGCCTGCGCCATCAAGAATGGACAATCCGTCGACACCACCATGGGTTTGACGCCGGTATCAGGTCTGCCCGGTGGCACGAGAAGTGGTGATATCGATCCGAGCTTGGTGTTCCATTATACCTCCGATGCCAGTGCGTTGAGTCCGAACAGCACCAAAGACCTCCATATCTCCACCGCCGAAGAAATCTTGAACAAGCAATCTGGATGGAAGGCGTTGACAGGAACCACGGATTTTTCCCAAATTGCGGATCCTCACGCTCCTGATACCCACAAGCTCGCCTTCAATATCTTCGTTGACCGTCTCATCGGTTACATCGGCAATTACTTTGTCAAGCTTGGCGGAAAAGTTGATGCTCTGGTCTTTGCCGGTGGCATTGGCGAAAGGAGTGCCTACCTGCGACAAGTGGTGACCGAGAAGGTTTCTTGTCTCGGCTTCACTCTCGACGATGACAAAAATCAAAATGCGGCTGGTGGGGAGGACGTAGTAGATATTGGAAAAAGCGACAAGATACGGACGATAATCTGCGAGACGGACGAAGACGTGAGTTTCAAATCCCTTTGGGCGATCGCCGGGCTGACCCTGATTGATCCAGTACGAAATGGCTTACAATTGTGTCCTTCATCCCAAGTAAACGGCACCGCCGAATGATGTCGGCATCGATTACACGGAAATCCGGCTGCTCCAATTATTCGCCATAGAATTATGCATAGATCCAATCGTACACCAGCCCCGTGAGCCGTCCATTATCCACATTCTTTAACTTCGGGTTTTTTTTTTTTTTTTCCCGCCTCGCTTGTTGGTATACTCTCCACTATGCTCTTTCGCTCCCAGCCGTGGCATGGTACTGGTGGTCACCTTGGTAGCGAACTGACTAATCGGGCCTGGATCCTAATCTAGCAGGACACGGACCTAGCATCACTATGGCTGTTCATTTACTAGACTAAGCTATCTCTCGACACCGATGCAGAATGGTCCGGAATGGCTCTTTTCAAATGAAACACCTCCTACTCAATCGAGAATCGAATCATTGAAGCTTTGGCTTAGAAGGCAAATGTCCGCCGCCGAAAGCTTCCTTCCAACGAAATTAAGCATTCCATTCAGCTTTCCTTACTTCAATACAAAATATTGCTCCCACGGCGACACATAGATGTATGCACCAGTACATCAGAATTGGTCGATGTCGTTTCAGCTGAATGCCCCTGAATCGCGCGCTGCCTCGTCAACAGTGTTCCGCCATTGAAATCGGGATCTGACGATCCTCAACATGTTCAAGTCCATCTTGTTCTCCCTCTTGCGTGCAGAGGTCCAGACTGCCCGAGTTGTGCCCAAACATGCCTACACTTGAATATCCTTCATGGTTCATGTGCCGGTTGACAACGTGACAACTGTGGTTCCACATTACCAGAACCCCCAGATCCATACGCGGCGACGTCATTGGCAAACGAATTCACGAAGCAAATTACCTTCCCGAAGGCTGCTGCCCCTGAAATCAACTTCATCACCTTGACGAAGACTTTCCATATCAGCACCGAGCATTGTACTCTGGCCAGTCCTGGTTCCACAGCTTCAACTCGGAACAGGTCCTACTGGGATTTGCACTTCCCTGGAAACCCAATGATGCTCAGTACTCCTATATCAACAGTGCTACCGCTGTCGGATATTCGACATTGAGTTATAATCGCTGGGTATTGAGCCTAGTAGCATAGCAGATCCGTATACGGAGATCCCGAGTCTTGTCGAACTGGCGGTTCTTGCAAGGCTCACAACTCTTACTCGGACAGGAAGTATCCCGCAAGTGCCCCGACTGGAAAATGTCATTCACGTCGGCCACAGCTGGGGAAGCATATTGAGCAACGCTCTCGCCTCCGTGGTTCCGGAACTTCCCGATGGTATCGTGTTGACAGGATTCTCACATATGGAGATGTACCAAAACTGGTTCCTCGCCTCTACTGCCTTTCACCTGAGGGTGCTTGCGAGAAAAGCTAAAGGGTGACACTGGCAAGGGTGGTCGGATTTTAACGAACCATGAACTGGGTTCATCAGCGAACTTGGCAGTCGATTATTACATGAAGGAAAAGATACGGTGTGAAGGCTTGATGATATTTTGTACGTAGAGAACCTGTCTCCCGGTTGGGGAGGGAGGGGAAGAGCATGCTATAGATATGGCGGCGAGACGAGAGATGGAATGTAAAATCCCCAGGGTGAGAAGCCCAAACGGAAATTGTGAATAAATATACTGTACAAATTGTCGACACACCCTTTTCAAAGACACGCACAATCATGCGTGGCAAGTCTAGCAGCCCTCGCTCTTCTGTGAATGGCCGTTACCGTTTAGCCAAAAAGCTGATCATTGATCGTTTAATTCAATTCTTCTGGCCAATGAACGATCAAATCTGGATTGTGACGCAAGCCGACATGACAAGTAGACTGGCGACTGAGAATGGCGCCCTGTTCCTCTTGTTCCGGTATACCGGCGACGACCGCATTGAGGTCGGCTGGATCCTCGGCCGGAGGACTCGGCGTCATTCCCTCCTGGTCGCCATGTAGAGACCACCACCATTGACTCCCGCTCAACATGCCGTCTTCGTCGTCGAATACCTCCTCATCCCTTTGCGCGATGAATCCCGAATCAATATCCTCGACCCTCATACGCGCAATCCACCCCCATTTCCGCCAGAACCACTTCCGGACTTCCCAGCTGCGTTTGCTCCAAGCTACACCGTCGCGCATGCTGCGCCCAAAATGCCCGTTCGCGTTCGCGCGGCCCCAGCAGACCATGCCATCGTGCATGAGATCGAGGAATAAGCTGCAGTGGTCCAGCTTTTTGACAGACGACAGGTAGATGGCCATGCTGCGAAAGTGGGCGAAGGGGATGCAGTCGAGAAAACATGGGTGGGGGAGGATCAGTTGGAAGGCCGTGGGGCGGAAGTCGACAGGGACGGTGTGGATATTGGCGTTGGACGAGGTGGTGAAAGGGGATGGGTGGTCATTGATGTAAGAGGAGCGGGTGATGCCTAGGCTCTGTGCGATGGAGAGGGTGGCCCCGAAGCAGGATTCGCCGACCAGTTGGAGGTGGTTGAGGTATGGTGAGGGTAAATGGGAGTTGGAAGAAGTGTGTGATTTGCGCTGTGAGGATGACGGCAGGGATGAGAATCGAGAGCGTGGAGAGATCGGGCCTGTGGGGCAGAGCGATGAATAACCTGGTGGCAATTTGTACGTTTTATATTCGGTATCCGTGGGCCCATCCCAGATATGTCGCATGTCTTCGGAGTCTGGGTCCGGAGGAACATAGTAATATACCGCCACGGGCAAGGGGAGGGCTGGTTCAGGCAGTGCCGGTTCTGGAGTAACCACGCTCTCAGTGCTTGAGAGGCTCGTCCCATTGACGCCATGGTCTCGTTGAGGTTCAACAAAAGGCAGCGGCTGTGGCTGGCAAACAATACCCCCCTCTACCCTCAGCTCATGAGGCCGAACCAAATCTGACCCAGCTCTAGGACTCTGTGGTGGAAGCCCATTGATCTGGCCTAACCGCTTCAACTCCTCTTGGACTTTGGCTTTGACTTCCTCGTCGCGCCGCTGTTTTTGCTTCTCTCGCCATACTCGCTGAGAGCGACGATTTTGCTCGCGCCGAGCTTCGGTCAGCTTGCGCTTGTACTTGCCTAGCTTTGCTTGCTGCTGCATTTTTTGCCCCACCACGGTAGCAGCTGCTGCGTTCTCGATGGTTGAGGCTCCCATTTTCCTGTTTCTTTAGTCGGCTTCTAGGTATTTTTTTTTTTCATTGGAAGGATGGTATGAGAAAGGGAGAAAAGCGAAGTCCATTGTCAAAAGAAGTCGGGCCTCGACATTACTTCGTCTTGGAAGTTCAGAGCCCAGTGGGTCGCCCATTGATGCCTGGCGATCAGCGGGAAACACGGCCGTAAGCGATCAATGGCCAAGAACAAGTAACGCCATTTGTTATACCCGAGTGCGCCCCCGACCAATAGTGGGAGTTCAATCTTTCTCCTGGTGGCAATGCTGACTCACTCTTCACTTTCGTGTTGTATAGAATGGATCTGGGGATGAATAATTCTGCTGTGCTGACCCTGCTGGAAAAGATTGTGGCCGTGCAGCTATTGCTCTCTTGATGATGAAATCCAGGGTACCTGCATGTTATGTGTACTAAGCCCCCCTACAAGGTAGTTCCTGGAAGCTTATTCCGTTTTATGATTCTTCGTATGCATGGCAACAGGACCGACAAACAGTCTTTTGTACAGATAGATGATACAGCACCCCCTGATTGACGAAAATAACATCAGAGAGGGCACGTCCGTGGAGAGCCAAGCGCAAAGGAAAGCCTGACGCATTTAGACCCGGCTCTAGAGCAGAAAAAGGAAAAGAAAGATTGACAAATAAGCAACTCGGGCCTCTAGAGAATGTTTAGATAAGCATCTGCTAAATACACAAGCATTAGCGCCTCCGTCTCCACCAATTCCTCGCCGTCATGAAGTTGGTTGTCCCTCCGTCACGTTATCCTCATCAGCAGTCCCTTGACCAGGGAAGCATGGTTTCTAATATAGATCACCCGCTTTGATTGCGCCATTCGACACCGAAAGATCCATCGCATACATCCCTCGCACCCGCTTGGTGCCATCGCTTTGGAACCAACCCATATTCAAATCGCCATGGAAGACCGCTAGTTTGCCATCGGGGGTCACGTCGATGCCGCCTGGAATGTACACGCTCGCAGCCGTACCACCGGTCTCTAAGAATGCGCCTTGTCTAGTGTAAGGACCGTAAATGCTCTTGCTGGTGGCGTACTGTATGTTATAGGGGGGTGTGGTGAAGCATTTTGAGTTATACAGAAGGATGTACGTTCCGGACGAAACGTCATACGTCAATGATGGAGCCTCGATGTTGGGCCCATCATCCGGCCCGTTGAGCAAAATCGTGGTTGGCGTTCCGATGAGAGAATAGCCATCATCCGGATCAACTTCCTGTAAGACAAGCGGAGTCGGTGCAATTGGACTGACAGTGTTTGCACACTCTCCTCCATTACCCACAGAATTGCCATCAACTTTGTAGACAACATATTGTCGGTGAGTGGGAGGATCATTGAAGCCATCGGCATCGATTGCCCCTCCAGCACTCAAGTCGCAGAATAAAGGTGTTTGAACTGGAGTAAATGGACCTTCAGGGTTTGGAGCCGTGGCCGCTGCCACACAGTGTTGTGTGGGATTTGAAGCCATCGATACGGAATAATATAGCACAAAATTGCCATTGTCCTATTTGGTGTGAGCAAATCTTTGACAGGAAAAAAAAAAAAGGGACATACCAGTCGAGTCACATCAGGAGCCCAAACATGAGGAGGTGAAGCAGCCCAAGAAGGGAGAGTAGGAAGAGCATCATAGCCATCACGAACCGTCCAAGTTGAAAAATCGGTAGAAGTTGCCATCAAAACATTGATCCCAGCGGGATTTCCGTTGACCCCGGCATAGGCAATCCAGGAACCTCCGTCCAATGGGACCACAGAAGGATCTTGAAAATTTGCACCAATGACTGGACCCCTGACCTGACGCTTGTGTTGTGGAGCAGCGAGAGCCAAAGTCAGGCCAGCGAGGAAAAAGAAGGACATGAGTATCATGATGAAGAAATAACGACGACGAGAGGCAGAAAAAGGAGAGTCAGATTCTTTGGCCCATTTGACATTTTGGCGGCCAGAACCCGACGCAAATTCAGAGGCCAGCCGAGAGTGAGAGCCTGACAGCAAAGAGCTGCGTTCAGCCGGGCTGGTGCCAGACATGTTTCTCGGCTGACTGACGGGCGTCCTGGGAGTTCAAGTTTCTCGACGGCATCTAGTGCGGGCTGGTAAAGGCGGGATTTTAAAGTCAAAGCCAGGTCAGCAACGGGAATGTACGCCATTCAGATCGCTGAGCATGTCATACGATGCAGATGGGATTGGATGCTTTGGCTCATTATCAAGGCATCAGTGTCAACATAAGCTCAAAAGAACCTGGATGAATGCCGCGTGCCAGCCTCTGGAAAGGGAAAAGGCGGATGCCAGCTCCGGGTTAGGGGTCCGAATAAAGAAATAATCGGTTCCCTGTGGTGAAGGATGGCATGGCCAAATCATATTACAAGAGAGAAGAATGCGATAGGAAGCCGGATGTTTTTGTGTGGCCCATAAAAATAGTTGGCCTAGGGTCGGGCCCCTGTGACTGGCTCGCTGCCCGCCCAACCTTGCTGTCGCCTTACGGGCCCCCTTCGTTGACTTTTCATCCAAAACAACTTGGAACCTGACTGCGCCTGCCGAAGATTCATCGTTGGGCATGAGCAATGAAAAGATGCACGCTGTCAGATCTACTCGCGTTCGAAATCTCAGATCTCCTATAACAATACTGTTTCCCACCCGACTTCTAGCCAGCCTCTTCCCCTCCCCGCATTCCCTATCCTCCCTACGAACGAAGAGATCTTCAAAATCCGTGAACCTCATTCTCTGTCCGTTGCTCAAAAAGGAAATGATCTCGTGCACATTCTCCAATTGCAAGAGTTGATTGATATCATGCCGTCTATGGCACAATATTGCACCATGCAGAAAAAGTGTTCGCGTGATGGAATGGCGCAATATACCACAAGAATTGGCAACAAATGGGGTCATGTGAGAACTACAATACCTCGGTCTACATTCAGGACACAGGGCACGACCGAACGAGTTGAGTTGCCGTCCTGCCCAAGGTGGCCGAAGATTCGACCAGTTGGAAGGGTTGACTCGGGTCGCGCGAAAACACACAAGCTTCTTGGACCCGAAAATGGCTGATCTTGATGCGAGTGGTTTGAAGCCTTGCAGATCGAAGAGTTTTCCGCCTGGATGCTTGTTTACAGCACACGCCAACATGGAGAAATATGGATACGAGTCTGAAGAGCTAGGGGGATCCCGCGTGCTGGGTCATTGAATATGACGTGCTTCACCTGCAGAATGATGCTGACAAACTCGCTGGGAGCGATGTCTACATATGTCTCCCTCCTCGCCCTCAAAACACGTTCCTCAGATGTAGTTGCCGAGCTGGGTTCCAATTTCCGTGCTGTTCATCTAACGATGCAGAAGCATGGTGAGCCATGTTTCTTTTTCTCAGCTGTTACATCGTCAAGATAGATTACGGGATCCTCGACCCTGCCATTCATCAGGTGAGCCATCTTCCCGTCCCTTGTCTCCTCCAGTTCGCTCTCAGAGCTCTGTATTCTCCAACCTCCCCATCCGTTCATCGCGTGGAAATAAAATTAATCGATCGAGAGGGACCCATCGGTGAGAGATCCAGTGGACCTGGACATGGTTCGTCAGGCACACCAATGTCGTGGGCCTTTTCCAGAGAAACATCCTGGCCATTAGATCAAGCACGCGGCAGGGTTCAGGCTCCAAATTGAAAAAAGATTCAGAGTGACGACCGAGGAACAAGGCCGGGTCAGGGCCCGTCTTGCCGGGAATCTCCATGCGAACACCTGATTGACTGACACTTGGGCGGAACGCCCTTCCGGAGCCCTTTCAATTCAATAGTCTTTTACCGAATTATCCTTTTTCTTTTTTTTTTTGGTATTTTTCCCCTCATGTCTGGAGCTTCAATGGAGTTCTCACATTGTTGCCCATACTGGATCCCGCTTTTGTTCTGCGGCCTCCTCCAATGGCGGCGTGGTGTGGTAGCACGCATAACGGGGGACCGGGGGAGGGCAGCTTGGCATACTCCATGTACCATTGGCGGGCATTCAACAGGTACCACCGTCCTTGGCAGTGGCATCGGTGGCTTCTTTGGTGGTGACACTCGTTAATGCGAAGCCTTCGCCTGCTGCTTCTCCCAGAGGAACGTGGGTAGCTTGATTGGCTGGGAAGCGTCGACAGCCATTCCTCAGGCTTGGCGCTCACCTCCGCGCCGCTTGGCATCAGTCCCGCTCTGCTGCTCCTGCCCAAATCGGGTAGCCCCAGGTATCCTCTTCAGATACAGGGCAGTGTTCGCGAAGCTCGAGGTTACCACGAGGCAAACTCGGCAGGCCTCATGGACCTTCATACAGTGCACGGTGCCTACGATGCCCACGAATGCATCCGAACAAAGTTCTCCACTGCTCAGCTAGCGGAAATAACTTCTGAGCTCGACCAAAGCTACAAAAGCTACAAAATCCTGAAGCTGTGCTCTGAGAACTTTTGGTTCTCTCTCAGGTTGATCCTCAATCATCATTTGGTAACCGGCCTGGATAGTATCCGAAGATCGCCACCATGAGAACTCACTTTGGTCTCAAGGCTGCCTGGGCCATTGGAGCCTTCTGTGCCCAATGTACTGCTCAAACCTACCAACGTCTGGGTTCTTGCCCTAGATTGGGTTGTATCTTGCCACCAGATCAAGCCGATTTCCTTCCCGGTCAATTCTTCGATATCCGAGTGGAGGTTCACGCCCCAGTCAATGGAAGTGAAGTTGTGCCTGGCTACACCACTCCCGACACCGACTTCAGTCTTACCATTGAGAGAGAGGGTCGTCGGGCCAGACCAGTTGCAGCCTTCTTCGACATTCCGGAACCCCGGCTCGAGACCTGGAACTTCACCTGGTATGAAGATCTCTTCGCCGAGGCTGCTGATACTCCATCCCTGGTTCGAGTCGCGTCTAAGGCGTACCGACGGGTGGCCTTCTACGAGCCTGGCCAGTACATTGCCACTTTGACCTATCGAGGCACTTCACACACCTACGCCAACTGGACCGTGCGGGACATTTCGCCTCGTCGACGAGCAAAGAACGTTCTCATGTTCATTGGGGATGGTATGACCACCAACATGATCACCGGTAAGGCTGAAACCCCCTAAAACCCCTCCCCCCCAAATGGTGCTGGGCGCTAACCACCCCGATCATCAGCTGCTCGCTTGATCGCCCACCAATCAATCAACGGCAAATATCAGACCAAGATGGCCATGGACTCTTTCCCCATGTTGGGCCACCAAATGACCCATTCATTGGATTCTTTCATCACCGACAGTGCCAATTCCGCCACTGCTCTCTACACGGGCCACAAGTCGACGGTCAATGCGTTGGGCGTCTATGTCGACAGCTCCGAGGACAAATTCGATGACCCCAAAGTGGAGACCATCGCCGAACTCTTCCACCGTCTTCGCCGAGGTGGTGTTGGTATCGTCTCCACTGCCTTCATTGCCGACGCCACTCCGGGGGCTTTGACGGCCCACACTCCAGACCGTGGCCAATACGGTGCTGTCGTCGACTCCTTCCTCAACGGTATCACCAACTACACCTGGACCGACTGGTCTGGTCCCGATGTTCTCTTCGGTGGTGGTGCCGAACAATTCTACCCTGGAGAGGACTCCTTCCAAGGCAAGGACTACTACGAGGAATTTGCCAAGAAGAACTACACCGTCGTCATGAACAACACGGAATTGCAAGCCGCCTCCAACTCATCCAAGATCCTCGGTATCTTCTCCGTTAACAACATGGCCAAATGGCTGGACCGCAATGTCTATCCCGACAATCTTGACATCCCGGAGACGGCCCCCGACGGCTCCAAGGCCAGCGCCACCGATCAACCAGGCCTCAAGGAAATGACCCTCAAGGCCCTTGAGGTCTTGCACACCCGTCATCCGGACAATGGTTTCTTCATTATGTCCGAAGCCGCCAGCATCGACAAGCAAATGCACACTCTCGACTACGACCGCGCACTCGGCGAGCTTCTCGAACTCGACGACACCATCAAGGCTTCGATCAATTACCTCGCTTCGATTGGCGAGTTGGACGACACTTTGGTGCTTGTCACCGCCGACCACGGCCACGGCTTCGACGTCTTCGGCTCCGTCGACACCCGCTTCCTCAACGAACAGACAGAGGACCGTGAAAAGCGCGGCGCCATCGGCACCTACAAGGCATCTGGTCTCTCCCAGTACGTTGTCGCCAACCGCTCCGCCCCCATCGGCAGTGACCAGAACCTCGTCTATGGGCCTGGCGTCAACTTCCCTGCCAACTGGGATCCACGCTACACTCTGGCCCAGGGTGTAGCCGCTAATCCAGATCACCGGGAGAACTATCAAGTGCACAAGAGCGGTCCGCGCCTCCCGGCTTTGAATATCACCGGTTTCGACGAGGAGGATTTCTACGTCAACTATGTTGATGCCGTCACCGGTTTCATCGTCAATGGCACGCTGCCTGTTGAAGTAAGTCAACCCCCCCCCCCTATTCCATCTCCTTTTTAATCTCTAAATGTGTGACTGGTGTACTGATGTGCTTTGTATAGGCTGATCAAGGTGTTCACTCTCTCACTGACGTTCCGGTCTTCACTCGTGGTCCTTGCACCGATTTGTTCGGCGGTGTCTATGGTAACATTGACATTTTCTTCGGCATGGCGGAGTGTCTTGGCCTGAGTCGGACATCTCCCCCCTAGATTCGAGGTCCTTGAGAAGTATGGAAAAGGGGAAGGGGGAAATAATACCGTACCGTACATAATTGAGAGAATGATATAGAGATGAAAATTGAAATAAGATGATGTTACGTGACGAGAGGATGAAAAATAGTGTACAGTCCCGCCAACAGTGTTTCATTGTCTCTGTTTAATATCTTCTCCATTTTCCTCTTCTGCCTTGCAGAAGCACTTGCGCAGTTAAACGCACTTCTCCCGTACCCTAACATAACACCCCCCCGTCCCTATTCCAACCATCCTCCAAATCTCCCTCCCGCTGCTTATTTGTCCTCGGGTTCTCTTAGACCAGCACCCTGCAACCACTCAACACGCACATCCCTCGGTGCTCCATAATACGGCAACCCTCTTCCCCACCACAACCACGCTGATACTCTGGGATGCGGACTCAACGTACTTCGTCTCGCCGTGCTGGACACGCTTGATCGCTGCCATATGGCCGATTTGTCCCGTGCAGCTTCAATCCCGGGACTGCTTGTTGAGTTAGATGTTGTGGAGTAGGTCGGGTCAGTTTCTACCAGCCCTGTTGCGGTGTCGAAATTACATACGGTCGTGATGCCGGGGGGCATGGTCGAATGGTGGCGTGTGACACCAAAGGCGAGGATGGGGAGACCGGCGGTGTTGTGCACCTGGCCGAAGATCTTCTGGATTCCGGTCGGAGCGAATATTTCGCTAAAGTGTATGAACTTGAAGATGTGAATAGAGCAATGGATGTGTGATGTGGGAGGAGAGGCATCCCTCGCCATCAGAAGCAACATCGTTATATAGGTCTCTGTCCTCAGAAACTTGAGAATGTCTGACGAAGTGTCGTGCCTTCAATAGGTACGAAGCGGTCACGGTAGATAAAGGCTCGGTAACGGATACACCTCACATCTACAAACACTGGCTTTGCGGCTTGAAGACCAGTCAGGGGCTCTTGAATATGGAATCTTCTAGCTCCATCCTCCCATGAGCACAAAGAAGTTGACAAAATCGTCAATGACATTCAAAGAATAAATAACTGTTGAACGGTTGAACAAGTATCCAGTACCCCTTTATTGGGAAATGGGTTTATCACTCCTATGAAGGATATTGGAGTAGGAATAGGAGAAGAAAAGGGGTCAATCAAACATACGCCAGCAACCTTGCAGGACCAGTTGTCAGATAGACAGAGCATTCAATTCACATTCTCTTGGCATACTCAGCTTGGCAATAACTTTTCCGTGGTCAGTCTGGACATATACCATTCTAGGAAGTGTGTCACGAAGATTTTAGAATCCTCCACCCTCCCAGAGTAAGGAATATCAACGCAAGCAGCTGGAGCCAGTATTTTTGCCATTGTTTGAAAGGGACCTCTAACGAATACCACCGACACGGCCGGACTCAACCATTTTTGGCGGATAATTATTTTTCAGAAACCCCAATACCAGGGTCTGCCAGATGAGAAGCATACGCGTTCTCTGCACAGGAGACCCCTGCTGGTTGCTATTTTGATCCATCGCCACGCTCGGCTGGAAAAAGACTGCGCATCTGCGTTGTTTGATCTTACAAGGTATCGCAATTCTTATCCTGCTGCTGCTCCGGAGGAAATCTGTCAAACGGGGTGCAACTTGAGATGTATTGAATGCTCTCTCTGTGACAATTGATCCTGCCAGATTGCCAGTGTATATACGTGCTTGGTTGACCCATTTTCTACTCCTATTCTTCCCCTATATCCTACATAGGGGTGATAAACCTTTCCAAACAAAGGGATACTGCCCATTGTTCAACAATAGGTTACCATTTGTTCGACAAAATCCAGGCCTGAGTTGTCCTCCGTCACATTGCATCGCTGTACCAATGACACGAGCCTTTAACCAAGAAATTCGCGCAACTATTAAGGATATTTAGGATGAATACCTTGTTCCCCCCCCCCCCTAATTCTTGATTCTGTTCGCCTGTTGACCCAATCTTGAATCGATGTTCGATTAGGCCGTCGGAAGATACTCTCAAACGGACCGAGAAGCACACGATTGTGAGCAGATCAACGGCAGATCAGTCCAATGTGGCAATTTGAACCTGATTAGCGCACGACCAAGGGGTGCTTTTTAGCCATGCTCAAACTAGCCCCGGCGGCGGAGAGAGCTCTTTAACAAGTGCGTCTCGACGATTGCTGGGCAACATGGCCGCTTGTATTTCTCTGCAAATTCTTCTTAAATGCGTTCTCAGACATACACTCTCGACACGCAAAGCAAAGCTGGCTTGTGTTGGAAGTGATAGATTACGCCGCCCACCTAAGTGCATTTATCATGGGGCGCCAAGACCCAATGTCAAGAACATGTATATAGCATGCGTTACGCAGGATACCCCTATCCGACTTCCAAGCGTGGAAGTCGATGTCGCCCCTGCACCTATATAGATAGATAGGTATCCTTTTGACGTCTTTACAGCCCGCTGGCGAGCCTGCCCCTGACAGCATTATCCACGTCACAGTCGTCAAATACAACAACAACAACCGGACACTTTCCTCCAAGCTTGAGAGTCACTCGTTTTAGGTTACTCTGTGCGAGCATATATTCCTGGATCTTTTTGCCAACAAGAATGGACCCTATAAAGCTCACTTTACGTATCCGCATATGGCTGAACAGAAGAGCTCCCGTTGATCCATTTCCAGAGAGGATTTGGAATATTCAGGCGGAGATCCTGCTTCCTTGATGAGTAGACCCATTGGTAAGGGCGCGAAAAGTGTTTCCTCAGAGGGTTTGAGGATGAAGCAGTTGCCGGTCGCGAGAGCGGGCGTAGCTTTCAGGCCGGCGGATGCGAGAGAAGCACTCCAAGGAACAACACCTGCAGTCACACCTAGTGGTCCATTCCTCACTATCTTGAGGTAGCCATCTTCTTAGGGTAGTGCTTCTCCTACAAATACGTCGATCCATCCTGCATGGTATCGAAAAGCCTATGAGCATGAGTATGGAGTCCTTACGAGAGGTAAAAAGCTGCACTAAAAAACATAGAAATTCTCGGTTTGCGATTTGCGGGGCAAAATCGCCTTTGTCAGCTTTAAGACCTGAAAGATGGCTCGAATTTGACTGCCGTTTTAGTCAGAAGAGCAGACTCGGATCATGAGTTGCAAAAATGCACCAAGATCGCTGTCATATTAGCGTACATCTCCGGATAGTCTAGATCTTGACAAGATATACGGCAAAGATGATTCCACCCGACCGATCTGAATATGTAACCCTCAAAAGCTGCTCGATTATACACCAAGACAACGTCTCTGGACCAAGGCCGCAGGATGGCCGCAGGATGGCCGCAGGATTTCATTCAGCTCTTGCAGTTTTTCCCGCCGGACCCAACGATCCACATCTACCTCGCTCATCGTCAGTGCCTCAAAACCTCACTCTTACTAATTTGCAGGAACCCAGGTGGAGAATGCTGTCTTGCGCTCGGAGGACGTGCAAGAGATCCTGATCGACCTGGGGATCCGGGCGCAGGAGAACGTTATTAGAAATGCTCGAGGCCCTTGATTGCGAGTCAGATTAGCAGGGCCACATCACACAGGCTGCTCGCTCGGCACCCACCCTCCTGGCGAGATTTTACTTCGGTCTGACAGTGGAAATGGCCCTTTGGTGAGGTCAATTCTCTCATGAGCAACTGGGATATCATGCTGTTTGGTGGGGCTCCATGCGTCTGAACCCTCTCGAACCAGAGGAATGCCGTGGCTCCATACGAGCCCTGTCAATTCAGGTCCACTGCAGTAGCATATACGACTTGCCTGAAAGTATGCCATTCGGTCTCGGCGAGAGCAACATGTACATCTACAGCAGTCCCGTGCAGAAAACATTTAGGTTTTATATTCCATGCTCAAATCTCTTTCGAATCCACTCCTGTTTCCAGTTTCCAGCACTGAATTTCGCCTCTCAGAAACACTCTTCTTACTGAACGAATATGGCCCCATCTCCCCAAACTCAGCACAACAAGGGGAGGATGAAACTTCTTCATCGTTTCTACGAGCCTTTGGTGCTCCTTTACGTTTTGGATAAAGTTCAAGGTGACCATTTCCTTCCAAATAGTGATCGACTACCTTTGAATGATGCCCCACCCAAGGAACTTCGCCGGCGCTTCTTGTCCTCATTGTCTTACATCTGCGATTACAAGAAAGGAGGAGATACTATTACCGCCATAGGTGCGGCGTCAAACCCACTGACCTATTATGTTGCGTGCAACAAGGGCCCTAAAGACAGAGTCAAACCTTTCCTGGAATCAATTCTCACTAAACTTGGACTGATCTTCGAACTTGATAAAGAACAACGCAAAAAGGTTGCCAATGAAATCCTCGATATTTGTGCCGAGTTCAGCAAGAAGCGGATTGAAACATACTGGGACTTCTTACGAGGAGCGTTGATGAAATGCGGTGAAGCGCTGCAGGATGATTCTGCCCGGGATCGTGAGTACAAACTATGTGTGCTTCATGTTATATCATTCTCTCGCTGACGCTATGCGGAATAGAACTCAGAGAAATGAAAGAAAAGCTCACCGAGTGCAGCGAAAAGCCCACTGCTCTTTGTCGCTTCTGTTCATTTTTGATGAGACCAGACAGGATGACATTTATAAAGGAAAGGGCCAGAATCACCGACGAGGACCGCAATTACCAGAGTTCTTTCGCCATAGCCAAACATTATATTGGTCGTTTGGCATTTCATGTCAAGGTAGTGAAAGTGTTCATGGAAGCCGCAATCAGAATTCCCGAGCTCTTTGTGGATCCCCAGGTCATGCTCCTCAAGAGCCCTCAATCACTGATTGGGCCACCTCCCCTTCGCAACAAGCTGACCCTTGACGGATTAGTCAACCGAATGGCTTCGACTGCCAGAGATTCTCTTCCGGAGCTCCGGTCTTGTCTAAAGGCTTTGAACCACCAGTTCGACATCGAACGCATTGTTCGACAGGAATACGACAACAAGAATTTCAAACCGCGAGTTCATGCGGAACTTATTGTTCTGGAACACTTTTACCAGAACCGAAACACGTTGCAATACCTTGGGAATGATCCTTATGTTGGTTGCAGCAAGCCGGCATGCTATTGCTGTTCGCTATACATTCGGGAACACCCAGCTGGCTTTGATCCCCCAGCTACTCATCAGAAAATCTATCTGAACTGGTTGCCGCCCACGAGTACTGAGAGTGTCCAAGTGGCAGGCTCGGATGCCGCTCTGCATGAAAAGACCATGCTTAATAAAATTGTCCAATCAATCAGACAAAGGACAATGTACCAGATCAAAACACAGAGTGGAAAACGTCAATGCCACCCTGATTCGGTCACAGGAGATACTTTCTCCACTCGCATCATATCTTCCATTCAAGAGCGTAAGTTCCAGGCAGACTGCGTGCAACATCCAGTCTAATTATTTTAGTTATTAACCCTGACGGTGAGGAGGACGATGATGACGTGGATAGGGATGTGACGGCCGTTGCAAGAGACTTCGAACATTGGGTAACGGCACGAGAACCTGATGAGGACTCGGAAGGCGAGGGAGGTGTTCAATTGCCGTAGACTTTTCACGGTGTATGGAGACAGGGTTGTGCTTAGTAGAAGGGCACAGGATTGGGACGCGGTTTGGTTCAGAATGCTATCCATCGAGACAGGAATCGTGGAGGGTGAGATTCTGACCATCATGCTCCATTGAAAATGCAGATACATCATTCATGAGAGTGATATGCCACTGAAGCATATGCATAGTCGAGGATTCCATACGGCATTTGAGTCATCTATTCTCAAACAGGAGCGAAATGTTCAAGACTGAAAAGTTCCCTTCCTGCGAACCGTTCTTCATTCCTGCAGGCGAAAATTGTAATCACACAGCAAAAAGGGATCCCTTCATGGAAGTGCGATGGGGGAATGACCTCGCCTTCCCGCATTGACTAGAATTTAGGGCCTCTGAAATCGAAGCAAGTGACAGTGGTCATGATCTTTCAGACGGCTGGGCACGACCACTCGGCGAGAAAAGTGCCGCTCGGATATGCATGCTCAGCAGGGCCGGATGCGGCATATTGCGCTAAATTGCCGTACGGCAACTTAGCGTCAAACTAGACGATGAAATTCCATCGACGCCTTGTCTTCCCCAGCTTCGCCGATGCTGCAACAAGTATGTTGTTGGGACATATCAGCCGGGTAGCTCCACGAGCAATTTGCGTGGGATCTCTCTCACAAGGTCGAGCAAGCACGGAGGTTGCTACCACCTTTCAGAATGGCGAGCTTTTTCAGCTTGCCAGACCTATCGGCGGGAAGTTCGGAAGAGGTATTTTTGAAAATCAGGCTGGATCTTCGTGAGAATTGGTATTGACTAAGTCACAGAAAGCAGCTCGCATCAATCAGGTTCTTGGGGAGATCCATGACGTCCTCACCAGAGACGAAGATGTTTCAAAGCGAGTCAGATATCATGTTAAAGAGCGGGGCGAAAATGACCGAATTCGTCTTGCGAAAATCTTTGCCTTCAAGGAACCTGACCGGGATACCATGACAGTGTTGAACCAAAATTTCGCAAGCTGGGAGGCATCTCCCCACACTTTCTGGACTCGACCAGCAGTGCCAATGCCTTGCCCATTTACGTCAATTGCACTTCAAGTACAGGTTGTTAGCTGCTATATCCAGACCAAACGAGACGATGAATAGTCACGTATTGTTCGCAGACTTCTTTGTGTCCTTCTGGAAGAGTTACGGATTCTCAATCGTGGTATTTCGACCGGAGAGACGGCAAAGATGCTAAATGAACTGGACGCAGCTAATTATCAGTATGACGAGGTGGAGAGCACGGTGGAAGAAATGCTCCGGGCAGGATCCAGGTATAGAAATTTGGAGAATGCATTGGGTCATGGTGTTCTGTTCGTTCTTGGGAAAGATATATCGGAGACTTTGTGAGTTGCCTCTGGGATCAACCCTTCATTTGTCTTGAATAGATTCTCATTCTCACAGCTGGACAAAATTGTTGCCGAAGAGCGGCAGCCAATTCAACATGGTAATCCGTCATCTGAAATCTGTCAAACTTCACGAAACGGCCAAGAAGTACTCAAAGCTCCGAAAATGTGTTATCGAGTCAAAATTGGCCTCAATAACTTCCACATCAACAGCAAGGGATTTCTCTTCCCAGCAGTTTTCAGATACTAGCATGGAAATGTCCAACGCAGAATGGGCTACCGCGTTTTCAGGATCATCCTTTGTGCACGGCAATTCTACCTACGATCATTCAATGGACTATTATGTCAATTTGGGATGAAGTTCCATTTAGTAGGTGAACTTCGGACCTCTCTCAGCTATAAACTAACGAATTCCTTTGCCTCGTTATACCAACCCGACCTCAAACGCCTAGTCATTGACCGTCCTGTGCTTTCTACGCCTCTGAGCTTGCGAAATTGTGTTGGATTCATTCTTGATGGATGTCATTAGACCCTTGTCTTCTACGTTTTTTAGTTAGTAAAAGGTCAGGGCTTTGACCTTGAATCAATTTTTCCCCGATGACCGTTCGAACTCGGAAGAACGACCACCGCCCAAATCAAAAAATTAGTAATGGCCCCTAGAAATATTCAAAGATTGGAAATTTCGACTGGTGTCGAGGAGATCTTCGCAAGTCTCCTCCGTTCAAGAAAATTCGAACATGTGCCTTTCGACACGCAATCACGGACAGCATAATTTGGACGGCCACAGCCAGCGAAATCCTGGATTTTGCCCCTTCAACCAATCAACGTTAGCCACATATTTTCTTCTGGACGTTTGAGGCGAAATAGCGAACCTCCCTCATTGGAGTCTCGGCTACATGCAATTGTGCAAAGGACAATTAGCAAGGAACCCCACACGATGTTGTGTAACACACCATCTTCACTGCAGCCATCGATATCGATTTGAACCTCCCATAAGCAAAGCAGCGAAACGGATTGCTGGGAGATGGAAAGGATGACAGAACTAGAGCCTGATCTGCTTTATATAATTTGGTGGATATCTCGCAACATTACGAGCCTCAGGCGTACATTCTCCAAAATCCAAGAACAGAAGTTGTTTTGATTTGCTTAATCTATCTGCATCCAATAGCGAATCCCTCTTGAGCACTTGATTGGATGATATCATGTCAACATATTCAACAGCCTCAAAGTCTCCATCTGCCACGAGCAGCAATATGGGAACTAAGTCGACAACATCAAGTACGGTGCCAATAATGAAGTTGCAGAACGTCAAAAGAAAGCAAGCTCGCTACAATTTCAGAGATTTCCAGAACTTTATGAAGAATTTGGCTGAATACGCTCCTGAATATGGCGACTATGACAAGGCAATCCAGGAACGAGATGAAGCTCGCCAGGAGCTAGAGGTCAAGAAAAAAGAGCTCACCAAAAAAGAAAGAGAGATCCACTATCTCAACAGAGCAAAGAATGACGATCGAAACGATTTTATAACCAGAAACAAGGAATTGGAGACAGAAAAGGCAAACGCGGAGCGAAAAGCCGAAGAGGAGCGGGTACAGATGCTCAAAAGCCACGAGTCCAGCTCCGCCAAAAGTCGTGCCGAGCTGAACAAATACAAGTCTCTAGCAAATCGTGCAGGGGAAGAGGCTCAATTTATCAAGAAAAAGATGGACGTCGTTTATCAGGAGCTGATACAGTGGGAAAAGCACGTGTCTGTTCTCCGGCCACTTAAAGGGGTAATGTTATTCTGTACACCACATTTTGTTATTCTGTACACCGCTTTTGATTGGTCCGGATTTTTATTTTTCCGGTTATCTGCGCAGTTCGAAGATACGTGATGTCACAACACCTAAGTCTGCCTATATAGAATGCAGAAATGATGGTTAACGATGGTATCCTCTGCACGGTCGATACCTCGTGCTGACTAAGGTAACAAACCAGCGCCCATAGGCTTGGGAGGACCGCTCATAAGCCGGAGGGGGAAACCGCCCATGAACCGGGGGGAAACCGCCCATAAGCCGGGGGGCAACTGCCCCGCTTATGGGCGGTTCCCACCCAAGCCTATGGGCGCTGGTTTGTTACCTTAGTCAGCACGAGGTATCGACCGTGCAGGGGATCTCTACACAAATCCGGCTGTGTAGGCCACAATAATTTACAAAGTATACAGAGAAGCTCAAAATGCACGGTACTTATCTACCAAGGAAAAGGGAATCAAATGTGTTTATTGCTTCGCAACCACCTATAACGGGGAGAGTTTAACGCGTCACCCCTCCACAGCTACGCCACTTACTAGTGTTTTCTCGCCATCGCCGGGCCAACGGCAACAAGCTCTGTTAGCGCGGTGTACAGAATAACAGGATGAGAGCGTTAAGTGTACAGAATAAGGCGAGAGAGAGGTGGTGGTGTACAGAATAAGGAGAGTTGAGGCATGGTGTACAGAATAAGCAGGTTTTCCGGTGTACAGAATAACAAAAGTTGGTGTACAGAATAATACCCCCCCACTTAAAGCGGAAGACTTGTGAGTAAGCGTTGCTCCCCCTTGTTTCACTGTAAATCAGAACCATTCGACTAACGAAATCCCAATATAAAAGACAATTGAAGATCGCAGCCTTCTTCGAAGCATGCATTGACGCATTCCGCAAACAATTTTCCGACAATCTCCCTGACAGTCTTCTGAGTGTGGGTCAATCCGACTTTCCGCCATGTTTGTCGTCTTGAGCTGATGGATGCATGAGTAGAAACATGATGCGTGGGATAATGGTGTTCGACGCCTTAACCTACCTTTTGGATTTTCCCCGGACAACACAGAATCGGCAAAGAAAGCGCGGGTAGCAGTCGCTATGCATGTATTCTCATCTGAGCTCGTGGGCAGCATTTTCAAATCGTGCTACGTTCCCAAGTCCGAGGAGCAAAACAGATTTTTGCAAGGAATTGTGGACAAGCATCTCTCCTCAAATCCAAGGTCCGGAAAACTACTCCATGCTTTGCTTCTTTCAACGTATTCGTCAGCAGAACTCAGCAACACCCTTCGCCTGCGGACGTTGACTGCAAAAAATAATGTCGTCGAAAAGCTAGGCTTCATATGCGAGGATGGCGGCGTCAAATTCGGCAGCGTGATTGAGAGCTTGTGCACAGAGGCCGCAAAGCTATGGGAGGACATTCAGTATTCTGGTCACGAAATCGAAATTGTCGACATCTACGAGGAAGATTGGCAGTGGGACGAGCTGATTGAATTCGGAGAATTCCCCAAACATGCACCGCCGCAGGCGCCGGTGATGCTTTTCCCGGGTTTCTCTGCCCCAACAGGGGCCCGTACAGAGTTGTACAAGGGCTATGTTCTATGGGCGGATCAACAACATATCGTGAATGCCGACTCGGAATGGATAAATTTCAAGAAGATGATGAAGCACGGGAGGATTCGTCGACCGCAGAATCCAAGGCCTAGACGATGTTCCATAAAAACCGAAAGTCCTGGATATTCCCCTTCCTCTCCGGTTGCTAGCCCAAAGGAATATAGGGCACAACAAGCTTACATGGACAGCAAGGGTCCTGTTGTCCATGACATGGTGTCGAAAATTCAGGGGTCAAGTCAGGAAGGAACGTCAGCTAGCGTTTTGATGGTTTAGATTCCATGAGAGAACTTGCTGGTTGGAATTTGGTCGTGGAGGGAAAACCTTAAGTTATATTTTTCTTTTTTTTTTTTTTTTTTTTTGTTGTTGTTGGAGAAGATTTCAGTTTTAGGGGGAGTTGAACTTTCAATGGACACTATAATATTAGCTAGCGAGATTGTTCAAAGGTGTTGTTTTGTTGGCGCATATGTATTGTTCCTTGGATTTTGTATATCTTACGGTGTTGTTTGAACAGTGTTGTATTATGCTTGAACTGGTGTATCCTTTTTGAAGTCCTTACTTGGCCGGCTCCAGTCCAAGGTGCGGCAACAACTTCTCCCTAATGAAATCCTCGGTGTTGTGAAACGTAACACCAAGATTGACAACCCGAGGATCAGGAAACGTTACCCCTGGATGCATGCCCACTTCATTGTACATGCTGAACATTTTGTCCCGCTCCGGCACACCTGTCGTGGGCAGAACCATATACTCGACATTCTTCCCAGAGACTATGCGAAGCACAAACTCATCAGTAAAATACTATTACGCAAGCGAGACAAGGCTGGAGATGGAAAGGAGGTTTCACCTTTCTTCGTGGCGGCCACGATGTCCATGGGCCTTATACGCGCGTGACTGGCTTGCAAGTAAGCTCCGTTCAATTCACTCTTTTTCCTTTCCCATGCATCGAATATCGCTTTCACAATAGCCGAGAGGTCTTTCTCAACATATAACATGGTAACTTTAAATGATCAAAGATTAGTCGAAATCCCAAGTGTACAAAGTGTCAGGGCGGTCTTGGGTTTTGCTGCTGAACGTACGTTCTGCTTCTGGTTTGATTATTGGCTGTTTGAAGACGAGCATGTCTTTTTCCTTGTCGTAGGACATGTGCTGGCGTAAAATCATGTTTTCGTAGAAATTACCAGTGTAGACAAAACAGCCTGGAAGTCCGATTTCGCGAATATATCCGTCGACTTTATGCTTTCCTTCATAGATCCGGGAGATGATCTTACCCCCAGTGACAGATTCTGAGCTAGGTAATGTGCTCCAAACGTAACACTGGACACCAGCATCCAGAGCGGCTTTTGCCAGGTGACGTCCTTGTTGTTCTTCGCTCATCGGATCGTTGATGATGGTCTGCCAAAATGAGACAAATGTTAATCAATTCCACTCCTCCCAGGATTGGAGGCTGGTCCATATTCATACGGAATCGTAGAAGTCGGTCACGGCAAAGACACCCCAACATCCACCTATTGCTGGAGCAAGCGTTGATACATCCGTGAGATCGCCACGGACAACCTCTGCTCCGAGCCTCATGAGAGCTTCGGCTTTCTCAGATTGCGGATTTCGCGTAAGGCATCGGACAGAGTATTCTTCAGGGTATCTAAGGAGGAGCTTTGCGACAGATCCGCCTGTTTATTCTTCTGGTTAGAGTCTCCCTTGGATGGTTAACGATCTGGGTTGCTGCAGCCTTGCCTTGGTTGCCTGTGGCACCGGTGACCAAGATGAGTTTCTTCATTTTGGATCCAGTTCTCCTTGACTTGGCCAAAGAGCAATGGAAAATGGCGAAGTTATACTTGCGGTTCACAATTTCAGGCTGAGCGTAAAGAAATACTGGTGTACGTGGTTCGTGCGCAACGATGCTCACGGTCCTACCCAACACACGTCGATGGGGCAGATGATGCTGACTTGGTAATACATTTTAGTGATCGCGGATGGTTTCCGTTCTGGAGTCGCACTTATTGGGCCCCGGTATAGTAATATGGGGTGTGGAGACCCCGGAAAATAATTTTCCCAGTTCGTCATAAGGCGGTATTATCACGTGGATTTCATCTGCCAGCAGGTATACATTCAGGTAAGTATGCAAGCACGATATGCGATGCAGTTCCTCTCCCATGTAGGCATCGCGAACGTGCCCCTTTTGTTCGTTTGACACCTTCTACGTACTGAGTCGGTGAATGGATTGACACACTACCGCTCTCACAGTTTTCAAGTTTGAGCTCCCTCAAAGAGCTAATATCCATCTGGGTGCTTTCTTCGAGAAGGAAAATGTGAAAATGTGCTTCCGCCTCGACGCTCAGAACTCCCAGGTCTACGTATTCCGATCCGGCCCATCAAATTTCATTCCGGCCCCACCGCCAAGTCTACCGGCTCTAAATCTAAGGGGAAGAAAGTATCGGCCATCCGCTGAACATAAATTGGTATCTTCGGACCAATCTCCAAGTGTCGGCGCAATATTTCCTGCAAAGCTAACAGTGTTATTGCTTAGCTAGAATCCTGAGCTCGAAGTGTTGTCAAAAGTCCGGAGAAGAGCCAGTCCATTCGACTTTATCGATATCACACAGTATAATCGCATTCTACGCCTCTGGAATTCAGCATCTCTCTTAATAATGGCGAAAGAAATCAAACTTCACCTTTACTCTATGGCTGGCCAGTGGGCTTCAGTTTTCCCTTTGGTACATATCACTTGCTAAGGCAACCAAAGGGACGCATGAGGATATCTCCTACTTAGGCGACGATGGTATATACGGAAAAGCATTAGTGAATCGTGTATTTCAAGGTTCTGGCGCCTTCGTTAGTCCTTGTCCCAGCAAGTCCAAGCTGCAACGTCCAGTCGTCCGAGAATCCAATTTTCCCATGGGAACCTGTGATTATCGGGTGGCCAGGGACCGGCAACGTCAGCCTCAGTTTGAACATGCTGCACCCCTTATCCGGCACCTTACCTGTTAGTTTATAGCTGGACATACCCTGGAATACTACCGGCGAAGGTGGCATCCTGAACGAAGGATGGTGGGGAATCGATGTCCGTCAGGGGATGTACAATGTGTCAGACTTTTTGTGCAACCTGAATTGAAGGAGTGCTCTGTCTCTCCTAACGAGTGCAGGATAGAGCCCATCTATATATCTATCTACGCGGTGTACGTCAACGCTGTTGCCTATCCATGGTGATACAGCGTAGTGAACAAGTGTTGCGGAATGAGTCGGTCTGTTGCGAACGACAGCTCACCAATTGTTCAGCATAATGCCTCCTTCTACATTTTATCTAACAAACCCCGAAACAACGGAACTCTGTCACATATCGACGTTTCGTTCCGACCAAACCTAACCGACAATATCTGGTGCACCGCCAGCATCCCATTCAGCAAGGGGAACAATATCTCGAGTTTCGAATGGGCTCAGCCCGAGATCCAATTTGCCAAATACAGCTAAAGGCCCAGATTCAAACAGCACATTCACCATCGCCTTTGACCGAAGCGAAACAGCTGGGAATACATACTACTTCTTGCTCGTGAGCCTGTTTCCAGAAACATTCAATAACCGTCCAAATGGGGTTCGAAGAGATCTCGGCCAAGCCATTACGATCATGGGCACCGAATTCTGGCGCTTCGCTAGAGGCAACAACATTGAAGGCTACAGCATCGACCAGCGCTGGAATGGAACAAAACAGTTGGCTCCTGAAAGGTCGTAAAGGCCGCATCGGCAACTAGGGAACACCATCGCCAACGGGCTCGGACTACTCGGATATTTACAATTCTACGAGGATTCAGGCGCAGAGCCAGTTCCTCGCCATCTACGCCAGCTCCTCGTTAGACATTTGGGCCCAAGACGGTGTTTCCTTCCCGGAGACTGTAGGGACAATATCCTAGACGACATTCTCCGCGAACTCGAATGCAATGCAGGAAACCCTTCTAGCACGATGTACCGTGCCCTGCGCGCGTCTCACGGCCACCCATCCTCCCTGGCGGCATGTGGGATACCCACCACTACGAAGAACCGTCTTATTTCCTCTCATCCTTCGATTTCTGGGATGACTAGCAAGATTCACTAACAACACCGACATCCCCGTGCTGGTCGGCGAGTGCTCGGTCTTCCAAATCGACCCACCATCCGCTGCCGCCAACTGACAGAATTGGTCGTCCGACCTGGTTGCGTTTACTGCAAACTACGACGAACTTCGAGTTATGATTTGGAGCAATTGTTCGCGAGACACCGAGGGGCGGAGCCATTGTTGGCAACAACGATAAACGGAGACTTTGATCCGTGCTTGAAAGTCGTCAATTCAGTGAACAGTAGTATCCCGCTGATGGTGGATTTTAACAAGGAGTATGATACGGTCAAATGGAACGATTATTGTGAGCGCAAACTCTTGCCCCCTCCCCTCCTTTTTTTCCTTTTTCTTCTTTTTTCCTTCTATTCTTCTCACTCTCTCGCCCTCTTCGTTCATACGAGACGCTCAATTGCTACCATAACCAACGCACTTTCAGCAGCCATAGACATCCCCCGACTTGAACGATTTCAACTACATCAACTGCGCTACTGCACTGTCGCCGGCAACTATCTCGAATCTATCGTCAAGCCCATCGGGTCAGGTGACATTTAACTGGGCTGTTCTGCCCTGGTCTATCAATGTGCTGGTGTTCACTATGGAGTGAATGGACGAGTAGCTGAATTAAAAGGAGATGGGAAGATCATCGTCCAGCCTAACACGTGGCTGCTAGGCTGGGCCCATGAGTAAAGGCAGGGTTGTCAGGTTCCAAAGAGTCTATCATAGTGCATCTGAGCCCATCACTGCACCGGATCAAACTTTACATATACCTACATTTATTATATTCGATAACGACAATACCATCATGAGGAGGAAAAACACGTCAACAGAACATTGAAAGAGTTTCTCTCCAACCCCATGTTTTCTTTCTGTCAACATGTACCCACCACCAATCGGACTTCATTCCCCACTCTATCCCGTAATTTCTTTTTACCGTCTATTAAAGTTCAAATATCTCGATCCTAAAAACAAGAGGATCAGATTACTCGCGATAAACGCCGCGAAAATCCCCAGATCCCTCCAGCGATGATTAAAACTCAACTGCAGTGGCTCATAAAACTGATCTCCCACTCGATATGCGCAGTACTGACACACATCACTGACGTTGCTGACAAGATACCCCGGGCCGCCTCTTTGGAAGAAATCAGCCATATATTCGCCACAATCCTGGCCCTGGGGCGAGGGGAAAGAATTGAGTTCTCCTCGCGTACAAACCACAGGTAAGCCGTGGAGTTCGGTGGTGACCATGCCAGAGACCAGCCGGGTGAACGGGTCGAGTTGATACAGCCAGGCACGCCAGAAGCCGGGGATCTGGGGTTTAGGGATGGTCACACCGCAGAAAAGCGCGAACACAATGACGATGAACGGGTTGATCAAGCTCGAAATAAAACTAGAGGGCGTGAGGGCGGCGATCATCTGACCCAGCGTCACGGAGAAGAGCTCGGTGATCAGCACGATGAAGAACTGGTATCCGGCACGCGAAGAGGAGCCATTGAAGCCTGGCAGGTAGTAGAGGGGGATAAAGAAGCCGACGGCACAGAGGAGGCTGTAGGGCATTTCGGCGCAGACCATGGCGAGAGCAAATGGGAATTGCTTGTATGCTTTGGCGGCAGATTCGCGGTAGAAGATCAGCCGGGAGAGATCGTACATGGGTTCCACCTGCGCGAGAATCAGGGCCGGAATGATGGTCACTTGGAAGATGACGAAGACGCGGTACTGCAAGCTGGAGCGGCTGTCGTCGAGTTGCAAGAAGGCGAGACCCGACAACAACGCAACGGCGACGTGGTTGAAGAGTCGAGTAAAGCCGTAGTTGGGCGAGCGCCAAAAGGCAAGGTGTGTGCGCCACGAGACGACTTTGATCTGATGCCAGAGAGGGGATGCGTATTCCTTTTCATCCAGTTTCGGTTCATTGGCAACCTCCCGTTGACGTTGGGTTTTCATTTCCACGATCTCTGCTTTGGCCGTTGCTAGTTCGTCGCTGTCCCGCCAAATTTCCCCCCAGTCGCGGTTGCCGATACGAGGGGCAATGCCGGCACCGATGGCATCGAGCATCCATTCGGCCGGATTAGCGTCGGGAGGACAATCCGCGCCGTATTTGCGGAAATAGCTCAGCAGAACTTGCGCATCTTTGCCGATTTCGCCGAAATACACGGTCTCGCCGCCCTTTTGTAACAAGAGGAGTCTGTCGAAGTTCTCAAACAGTGCACTGTTCGGTTGATGGATCGTACAGAGAATGGCCTGACCTGCCGCGGCTAGCTTGCGTAAGAACCGAACAATGTTGAACGCGGATTGTGAGTCGAGACCTGAAGTGGGCTCGTCGAGGAAGAGAAGAAGTTGAGGCTTCGCAGCCAATTCGACACCGATCGTGACTCTCTTTCGCTCTTCAACTGAAAGACCACTTTCAGGGTTACCGATGATCGCGTCGGCGAGATTCTCCAGCTCAAGTAAGCACAAAACTTCTTCCACGTAAGCGTACTTTTGCTCCCTGGGGACCTCGTAAGGCTGACGGAGATCGGCACTGAAGCGAAGAGCTTCTCGGACCGTTTGCGTTGATTCGTGGACATCGAGCTGTTCGGCATATGACGTCCCTCTTTGGAATCCAATCCCTGGCTTCTGACCGTCCACCAAGATATCGCCTCCAATCACGCCAATATTCTTACGTGCAGCAAGCACGTCGAGGAGGGTTGTTTTGCCTGCTCCACTGGCTCCCATTAAGGCCGTCAGCTGTCCTGGTCGGACGTAGCCAAACACGTCTTTCAGAAGCCGAAGTGGGCCTGACGGGGTGGGCACATCATAGGTAAGGTTCTCCCAGGTCAAGACGGCTTTAGACGTAATATTGAGCTCGGAGCGGTCTTCCGCATCCTGTTTCGTCTGTCTTCTCCTTTTACGTTCCTGAAGCTTCTCATTCAGCTCCTTTCTTTCTCGATTTTCTTTCGTGAAGTACGTCACTGTGCGACCACCGGCTCCGTACTTGACCATTTCCCCCAAGACAACGTTCGTGACGAGAAAGAATGCGATCAAGGCGACAATGATACCAAAGTTTCTCCAGAGATCGGACGGGTTGTATGAAAAACCCGTCTTCACATAAGCCGTCCCAGATACTTCGGTAGATCCCGCTTCAGATCCGGCCAATGTGCATACCTGGTTGTCAATATTGTCGTATCCGGGCCCAGATGGAATCAATGATTCTGATGTGCAACGCATGGTCAATCTCATGAACTCATTCATCATCATGGCTGCAAAGCCGAGACCGAGCGCGTTGATGTAGAATATCCACCTCAACCACACTTGCTGACTTTGGTCTTGAATGAGATATCCGGACGTAATGACGAAGAGGGTAATAATGACGGCGGCGAATTTTATGGCATAATCAAAATCGGGACATAGACAGCCAACAGTGCGGAAGAACAACGTCATCGATAGATATCCAGCAATGATGATGAGGACGAAGGTGAAGAATGCACCGGGCGTTCGAACCAGTCCGGTCATGAAGTAAACAATGACGCTGAAGACGAAGATCTGGACCGAAGCAAAGGCCAGATCCACCAGAATTTGCGCGAGCCAGAGTGCTCCTGGTCGGTGGAAAGTGTATGCTCGGTGTTTGTTGACAATAGGCCGACCCAACATGGTCGAGGCAAGCTCTGCGAAAGCTTGGAATGCATTGAAGAGCAGAGCAATGAAGAGAACACCACCTCGAGTGAAGGCACCGGCCGAGGTTTTGGGTTGATCCAACCAGACGGTCCCGACAATAATTGCAACGACAATCGATGTGATCCATGAAACCACCAGCGAAAATTTATCCTGCCATTTGATCAAGTATTGTCGTCGCATCAAGGCCCAGATTTGTAGATAGAAAGGAACAGAGTAGACGGAGCTTTTAGGAGTGTGTTTGCGTTTGGCTTCCCGGTGTGCCGCAGCGAAATCGTCATATATCTGCTTCTCTTCGCGGATGGACTCCCGATAGTCAGCCATGTCTCTCACCAACTTTTCGGAATACACGGATTGGTTGAATGCTTCCACAAATGAATCCGGGGTCGAAGGGGCGTTTTCGAGGGATCTGCCCGGTTTGTATTCTCGCTCAAATTCATCCGTACATCCCGTCAAGTAGTCGGGTGTGGTTTGTCGCGGCTTTTCCAGAAAACCCAATCCTTCAAAATATGCTCGTGCTTCTTTGGCCGGTCCAAAGAAGACCTGCCGACCCTCATCAATCACCATCACCTTGTCGAACTGGTTGTAAATGCTCTCGGATGCTTGATAGAGGGAGACAAAAGTCGTTGTCTTGTAAATGTTCGTCATGATTCGTAGCGACTTGGCATAATCGAGAGCAGTGGACGCATCGAGTCCCCGTGTACTGTTATCCCAGGCACAAACAGTGGCTCGAGTTACCATCATCTCCGCAATGGAGACTCGTTTCCTTTCACCACCGGAAATACCCCGCATAAAAGGGTTGCCAACAATGGTGTGGATCGTGTGCTCAATGTTGAACATTTTGAGAAGAAGATTGATGATCTTTTCTTTAAACTCAGCTTTGCTCATACCCGCAGGGCGCTTTCCGGGAGTTTTGGTGTCAAGGGCAAACCCAAGGGTCTGACCAACCGTCAGCGTGGGGTGATGAACATCGTCTTCTTGATTGTAGACGGCTTCGCCTCGATAGCGCTTGGAAAATGTTGACGCATCGAAAGGGCCGTAGAGAACTTCTCCGTCGATACCGGTATAGCCGAAACGTTGATTGGCGATGACTTTCAGGAATGTCGTACAACCACTTCCAGGTCGACCAAGAACGAGAACCATCTCTCCCGGTTTGACGACACCACGGAAGTTTTGCAAGATATTGAACTCCTTGCCCCTTTTGCCCAGCCCAAAGATGCTCATAATGGTTCCAGGAACATTGAAGAAGTCGATAAAAGCATCAGGGAAAACTTTGACGAAATTTTTGGTGCCACCAATTCCTCGAACAGTCAGATTCTCCCAGATCACACCGATATATTTCGATTTGATGCCCGCTGCATGGTCGGCTTCTCTGTTGCCGCGAAGAGTAGTTTCCAGGTCAAAGACATCCTCTGAAGCGTACTCTGATGAGCTGGTGGCTTTCTCGAGGTCTCTTTCTTTGGCAGCTGACGTTTTAGATTGGGTACGAGACATGCGACGGCTTATGGCACTGAGTTCTCTGCTTAGTTCCGCAAAGTCCTTTTCAGCCCGTTCGACATCAACACCTGAGGTCGGATGTTGAAGGCCATAGGAATCAGTCGACGGACGATACCCTTTTTGGTGGTCAGCCACTTCCACGTCTCGTAGTGTGTGGATTTCTGTTTTTGACATAGGAATATGAGGCTCTTTCTCGGCATGCTGATCTGCGTTAAACCCATGTTGCTGGGTTGGTTCATTCAAACCCAGCTCCTTCGAGAGAGCTTCAACCATGGTTGACAAAACTCGTGGTGTGCTTGATGGATTATCTCCACAATTCGGTTCGCCACAACGGAACCCTCCCCCACAACCTTTCGACTTGGGAAATCAGATCGTGTTCGACAATGAATCAAAACATGAACATAAAAGGGGGTGGAGAAGGAAAGGAAAAAGGGAAAAAGGATTTACTTTTAGAACAATTAAGACAACTTTAGAAGAGACATTTTGAGAAATTGAGAGACCGGAAACGAGTAGAGATTTCTTTTCTAGCTGGGGGGCTCGCAAGAGCCCACTCGGTTGATGGAGACCATAGCGCGGGTCGAGTCTGTCGGATATTGGGGGGGCAAAACGGGCTTAACGGGGTGACTCTACCGGGTGGATTTGTCAGGGATTTCCTTTGGTGGATCATTAAACATGGCTCGCTGAGCAAGATCCCGGGTAGGTAAATGATGTCGGCCCACCCAATAACATTTGGCCAAGAGGACAAGAGCGTTTGAATGCTTGGTCATCACCATCGCATGTTTTTTGTCTTCGTGATAGGGAGCTCCCTCGGTGTATTTTCTTCACCTTTCCGGAGCACAATTGAACAGGGCTGGTCTCAAACGAACCGAAAGTACATATCGTTCCCTTGATTCGTATCGACTGACCATTGAATTGAAAAGAAGCCGATCCCATTTCCACTTAGTTTTGGTGGATCTCTGTCGTTACGCAAGCCCGCTGGGGACTAGTGGGACACCTGATGTGGGCGACACAAAAAATTGGCCCGAAGCTTGGTGCGAGATAAGGGGAGTTTCGCTGTACACCATGGAGAAAGTCGTCGTACAGTCGCAACGCAGGTTTCAGGTCGAGCCTGTCCCAGGCAGCAGTACTCCACACACAAGACGGAAATGATAAATGTCGACATCGTGACTCACACTCCAAGTTATCTGCAGACGGATCTTCCATTTTCCGGCTAAGATACACCAAGGGCCTCAAACAGCGAACCTGGAAGATTCATTCGTGTGTTTAACTGTACTCGGGATTGCTCAAGCGAATTTGGCTGAGCGGCCTTTACGTATATATACATATAAATCCAAATATTTATATACCCGATACCAGTGTCGTGATGTTCTATGTTGGATTGCCGAGAAACGTCCCCATCTAATTACTTCCAGGGTTTTATCGAGAATGTACTCAATCGCGAGAACACATTTGGAATACTCTGTTTCGGTGCAGGCATTGCTTCATTACCTTCTTCCTCGACATGGTGCTTGCTCACGATGTTGAGGAAAACTTGATCCAACGTTGCTCGGCTGACGCTGTAATACTCGATCTGGAGATCGGATTTGTTCTTTTCCAAAGCCGTGAACAATGTCGATATATTTGAGCCGTTGCTGACCTCATCCGGTACACCAGTTGTGGGCACCGAGAATCGGATTTGCCCTGCGTATACTTTGCTTTCAATATCCGCGTTTGGAAAGTTATGCAGGATCCAGTCTCGGATGCGTCGCATATCATCATCCGATGCATGTGGGGCGCACTGATGAACGAGATGTACATAATATGCGTCCCCGTGCTTTCGTCGAAGATTTTCCGTCGTCCCAAGAGCCAGCATCTTTCCTGCCATGATCCCAGCTCTGGTTGCCAATGCATCGGCTTCTTCCATGGAATGGGTCGTGAGAACTAGAGATCGTCCAGGAACAACGGATTCCAGTGTCCTCCACATAACACGCTTACTCGCTGCATCCATCCCTGAGGAAGGCTCGTCCAGTAGCAAGACAATTGGATTGCCCATGAGTGCAATACCGAGCGAGAGTTTACGTTTGTTTCCACCAGACAGTTTGGCCGCCATACGATCCGCATATTGTTCGAGTCCAACCGAACGCATGACCGCGAGAACATTATGTCGCGGGTGACTGACTCCACGAACTTTGGCGTAGAATTCAAGATGTTCAGAAACGGTCATCGTATCCATGGCGTCGAATTGGGGACACACCCCGAGTCGGGATCTGGCCTGAGCCCGGTGTCGAATGACCGAGACGTTATCTACCAGAATATCACCTCCTCGTCGACTTGGTTGAATGTCACCTCGAATTAGCGAGATCGTGGTCGATTTTCCTGCTCCATTGGGGCCTAGAAGTGCAAACACTTCGCTCCGCGGGACTCCAAAGGTCACATTATTTACAGCAAGGTTCTTTCCAAATTGCTTCGATAGATTGAGCACGCGAAGGCCGTCTTGTGAAGAAGAGACTCGTGTTAGTTCGTTAGAGACCTCTGCTTCCACAGTATCCTTCTCCTCAAGTTCTGTTTCTCGTTGTTTTCCGCGGAAACGTCGAAATAGAGGGCCCGAATCCCACCAAAGCAACAGGCCAAATAAAATGAGGGATTGAAGGATTAAATACAAGATCGGACCCCCGAAGGTCGTCATCGATCCGGCATAGGATGCGAAATCTCGATTTCGGCATGTGATTGAGAAAACATTCAAGGTAACAAAAAGTGCTCGGGTAAGGTTGGCGACTGGCGATATAGTTGCAATCGTGAAGTGGCAAATGTCAACGTAACTGTCGATTTGGTCAATCGGGGCGTATGTCAAAACGCTCATATATGCAATGAAGTAGAGAAGGAACATGACGGCTTGACCGCCTGCGGCAAATGCAAATGCTGCGAGCTGGGATCTCGAAAAGAGGGAAATGACATATGACAGCAGCGTCGAGGCTAATCCGTAGAGGAAGAAGACCATAAAGAGATATTCAATGTGATACCAGATGTCAGTGACAGCTCGGAAAATGATGATGGCGATTGAACTGGTGACGATGACTATAACAAAGTCGAAGGCGGTGTAGGCGAGCCACAGTGGTGCCGAACGAACACCATTGCTGTAATGCAACCCTCGGACATATCGAAGCCGTTCAATAGTGGGGTATAATGAGAAGAAGGATGGGTAGACGGCCATTGCGAGACCAAAGTAAGTGATCAGTTGAAGTGCTTTCCCAACGTCCGCACCCCAGGGGACGTCGAATGCTTGGTATTGGTTCGAAATGGAAATATTACTCAAAAGAGTGTCCATGGCATTTTGTATGATGACGGAAAATGCAATATCACCATTTCCACGCCAGGCGAACGTAGGTGGCGACGTGTCATCACCGAGAAAGAAACCGCCAGGCGTAACATTCGCAAAGCGGGCTTGGATGTAAGAATTGAATTCTTGGAGGGTATCGACCATATGGAGCGAATCCAGAAGCCGTGTTGTGTTGGCTGCAATTCCTGCAACACCCGTACTCCCCGAAAATGTCGCTGCAAACCGCTGCAAAGCGTCCGACGTAAGTCGATCTCGAGGACCCGCAACAAGCTGATAATCAATTTGTGTGGACAGAGAAGTTACGTCAGACACGGCAACTGTCGAGGCCGGAGTACAGCCGGCCTTTTGAAAGTTATCGAGAAACAGCGTCACAAGACCGGCCGCGATGATAGGAATCAAAAGGGCGGCAAGATATGGAAGCGTATTCCGACGGAGAACCACCCATCTCTTCGAAAAGAGAACCATGGCTTGCCTCGGTACGCTGATGCGACGTCCGTCGAGAAGTTGAGGAATGTCGGTCGACGATTCGTCTTGAATTATCACCTCGACAGTCTTGTGAGGAACAGCTTCTGTGCTGCTATGGCTGCCAATCTCTTGGAGCTTTTCGTCGGCCTCGGTGTTCTTGGAAGCTGATTGCGGTGGCCTGGCCTCTTCCGCAACCTTCAAGAAGACGTCCTCGATCGTGGGACCGTTGACTTGATACTCTGGAACCCCATCAGATTCGATCCGACCAAGAAAGTCAGCAGCTTTGGCCGAATTGGTCAATGTGTATACGGTCTGGTCATTGCGCCGAACCTGATTGACATCCGGGTACGTGGGCAGCTGACGAGCTCCATGGGTGTGGTACACATGAACTCGATATCCTGAGCCCAATCTGTGCTTCAGCTCGACCGACGTTCCCGACGCCTTCAACACACCCTTGGAAAGAATGGCAATATGATCAGCAAGCAGCTCGGCTTCGTCCAGGAAATGTGTCGTGAGAATGATGGATCTCTGTCCACGCTCGGCAAGTAAGATATCCCAAATCTTTCTCCGGGACAAAGGATCGAGACCGGAGGAGACTTCGTCGACACAGCACACCCGTGAACCACCTGTGAACATCATTGCCAATTGTAGCTTTCGCTTCTGGCCTCCGGATAGCGTTTTGGCACGGGCATTCGCTTTGGATGCAATATCGCATGACGCAAGAAGGAGTAGGTTCTCATCCTTGGAAGACGGAGTCTGGCACTTGATCCGGTTAAAAATACGGACGTGTTCTTCGACGGTCAGATCATCCCACAGAACATTCTTCTGAGGACATAAGCCTAAGCCTGTATTCGCCTCCGGAATATTGACAGTAATCTCGCCTGATGTGATGGAGTTCAGGCCGGCAATGGCATCGAGGGTCGTCGACTTTCCACTACCATTGGCGCCCAGAAGAACCATGATTTGGCCTCTGACTGCGGCCAAGCTCAGGTTGTCGACTGCAAGGACACTCTTGGGCTGCCTTCTCGTAACGATAGAGCGCAGCTTCGCCAGAAATGATGGTCGATATTCTTTGGTAAATCGACTCAGAGAGATCGCAGTCACACTGTCCGAGTACGTCAAGTGTCGGCTCTCTGACGCCGTTCCATAGAGGGTTCGCTCCACGTATGCACCGATGACGGGGAAGACCACGATCTGAATGATCGAGAATATCCATAGAGCCAGTCCCGGCAGAGAGGATGTGTTCGCGGGGGCCTTCTTCACAAGGTTGGTCGCCAGGTCTTGCCTCTCCCAACGAGCCATAAAGATGACGAAGTACACATAGTTCATGGGGGGGAAGAGGAGAGAAAGGATTGCGACGGATGCCGTCCCGGCTTTGCTGGCCACTTGCGCGATGATAGCGAGGAGCAAGCTCAGGATCACCGAGGTAATCCCACTGAGTTGAGCCTTTTTGAAGAATGCCCCTCCGAGGATGGACAGGGAAGACATTGCCAGTCCCGAGAGAAGATTGAAAATGATGACAATTGCCGCGGAGGTATTGCTGAAAACACCGACAGAGAGGATTATAGCCATGATGATCCAACCCGGGCCGTAGAGCAAATCGAAGGCGAGATGATTGGCGACAATTCGGGCCATCTGTGGCTGCGATCTCTTGGAGTTGGGCATCATACAGTCCAACAGCTGTGCCATACCATTCTCCCTTTCAGACGCGATGATTCCAGTGAGTTGATAGGTGACACCGACAATGCCGATGAAGAAGGCGACCGCCAAGATGTCGATAATGCCTCCCATATACCTGGTCCGGATCTGTCTCAGTCGTTCTTCTTTGGTCATCGAGGTGTATGGGTATTCGTCGACAGTGGCTGGAAGAGTGGTGGCCCCATCGTTACCCGCTTCAAGCTCTGATATCGCGCCATCGATCGCGTGTTGCAGAGGAAGCAAATAAATCTCCGCGTCGTTCTTGGACGAATCAGTCACAATCTTGGTTTGAAGACCACCGTCGGCTCGAATCGAATAGTTCCAACGACCGCCACCTCCTTCCGAAGGGGAAGAAAAGAACACAGCCCCAGCAATACACGCGGAAGTTCCCCGAATCGAGTTTTGGCAAGTAGTCAACAGTTCCTCCTCTTGTGACAATATCTCCACGTGGCCGCCAAACGAGCCAGCATCGCTCACAACTCTGTCGATGACCGACTGGATTGGTCCGTCTGCAAAACCGCTATTGACAAAGACAAGTTTGCTTCGACCACCGGATACTAGGTCTAGAGCTTGCGGCAAACTTCGAACAGGGGTCGCGTCTCCGATGCCATACACAGACGGGGGGATGAACAAGAACCGTGCATACGATCTGGAATGGTCAGAAACCGGTGGAGCAACGGCTTGGGTGGTACGTACAAGAAACCGACGAATATACACGGCAATAGAAATGCTCGGAATGTCGTTGAGAACCAACGTCGGACAAACGCGGCTAACAGGTTCTTGAGGATCAACGTCGTAACCTGACGCACCAAGAGAGCCATCTCGAGAGATAGGGGGCCGACGGAAAAGTCAGTGAGCTGGCGTAGATATTATATCTTTGCCGACATTTCCAGGGAAAGCTTGGATGTCTTGGAGAGTTTTGGCCGGTCAAAATGACGAGAAATGTACTTGCAAAAGCTAGGGTGGTGGTAGTGAAGATGGTGATATATGCAGTACCGGCGGGCAAGACATTGGAACCCAGAGAAACATCACTCTCCGGGAGCGTGGAAGATGGAGACAAAAACACTGATGCCTGAGTCGACGATGGCGGAGAAGCGAAAACCCAATTTTCGCGGTTTCAGATACGCCAATGCGGGTGTGTAGACCGAGACCTCGAGCAAAACCCGAGTAGGGGGGAGGATTTGCTTCCACGAAGTGACCTTCCCAGAAAGGGGACGACCCCACATCTCAAGGTATTTAACCAGAGACTAGGCTGAAATGCGTTAGCTGACTGATTTAATGGGCGTTTTGCACGTGCAGCGCACCCAACAGCCGGTCATTGGCTTGGCTTGCTGACTGACCCAAGCCCACTGGAGGAATTTCCCAGGAGCCTTTATCGTTCGGAACAACCTCAAGAACATACTCACCATCTCATTCCCCTGAGGCCATTCTTCGTGTCAAGGACGTCCAACGTGGATTGAATCCTTGGTAATGCTCCACCCGACCCAACTTGATCGCCTCAGTCCGGCGGAGCCCCCCCGCATTTCCCCTCTCCCAAACAAGAGAAGGATGGGTTTATGGTCCAGTGTCGGCCAGGTGCTGATGGTGAGAATTATACTCCCAAACGGAAGACGGATAGAAATGTCGATGGAGTACTTCTTCTATGACGAAATACCTGACCTTCTAGATTCGCGTCAGCCGGGAGATTTATGGTCGTTTCTCTCGTGAGATGACGAGGGAGACAGGTCTCTCGACTTGCCTCACACTCACCAAAGCCGTCAAACAAAAGCCAACACTGCATTTGGCCCACGGCTTATGTCAATCGTCAGTTTTGACAGAAATGATTGTCTAGGTTGGGAGCTTCTAAGCTCGCAAGCAAGATTAGGCGGCTAGCTACCCTCACACCAACCTTCGCGGGATATCTGCCGAATGCGCAGGCGTTTTGGATTTGATTCCGTGATCAAGACTGTAAGACCTAGACCATGGCAACATATATATGGTAGGCCATTTTCCGTCTCTTCCCCCATCATCCCTCTCCCGTCACTTCTCCACAGACCTTTGGACTGGCGCTGAGATCAAGAGTGTCTATCTCTCCGTGAACACCCCCCCTATCGAACGGACCATTCTCCAGCAAGCAGCCTCAATAGAAGCCATGGCAGACACTACCCCCTTCCCGCCCGTGATTGACGCCAGGCCTACACTGGCTCCCTTCCTCGTTGCTGCCCTGGCCGCCAGCATCCTTCTCTACCTCATTTACCGCTGGGCGCTCCCCAGGCCCATCCCAGGTATCCCGTATAACCCATCTGCCACACGCTCCATCTTCGGAGACATACCTGGCATGCTAGATTACATTTCCAAGACCGGCCGAATCTGGCCATGGATCACTCAGCAAACCACAACCCTACAGTCACCAATTGTTCAAATCTTTGGCCGTCCCTTCTCAAAGCCATGGGTCATCATATCCGACTTCCGCGAGAGCCAGGACATCTTGCTCCGACGTCACAAAGAATTCGACCGCAGCGAGGTCACCCGGGACACCTTTTCCGGCCTCATACCCGAAATGCACATCGGCATGAAATCGTCCGATGAACGATTCAAAGCCCATCGACAACTTCTTAAGGATCTCATGACACCGGCCTTTTTGCATGAGGTCAGCGCTCCTCAGGTCTACGCGAGTGTCGAGGCTTTGGTCAAATTGTGGGATTTGAAATGTCAATTGGCCCCAGGACACCCATTCCCAGCTGCCAGAGACATATACAACGTCACACTCGACTCCATCTTCGCTGCTACTTTTGGCCTCGAGGTCCGGAACAGTGGAACTACCTCACAAGTGCATTGTCTTCTCGATTACAAGACCGGTGGCAAGCAACTAGACGTGCCCAAGTCTCCCGATCACCCGATTGATTTCCCCACCGCTCCCCGCCCCGCAGGCTTCGAAGCCATCATTCAATTGACAGAGTCCCTCGAGGTCGCGGTCAAGTCTCCATGTCCTCGAATTGCTCATTGGTTCGTCCGCAAGCTGCCGTTCTATCGGGCAGCATCGGCTCAGAAAGAAAAAGTCATCTCTGAAAGTATAGAAAAGGGTGTTCGACGATTCACCTCCGGCGACAAAGTCAAGCGATCGGCCATGGACGACATTCTGCACCGCGAACTCACCGCGGCAGAGAAAGAAGGACGAAAACCCGTCTACCACTCCCGCGCCATCTACGACGAGGTACGTTGGCAGCTCACCTGAATCCCTCTCGCTTCTCCTTATCTATCAGTCACGCCTAACTATCCCTAACCCGTTTATACAGCTCATGGGCTTCATCGTCGGCGGCCACGACACCACATCCGCCACCATGTCATGGACACTAAAGTACCTCGCCGGCTACCCCCAAGCACAATCAACCCTCCGCTCACGCCTTCGCACCGCCTACGTATCCGCAGCAGCTGACCACCGCAACCCGACCGTCGAAGAAATCACCAAGATCTCCGTACCGTACCTCGACGCGACCATCGAAGAAATGTTCCGCGCCGCATGTATTTTCCCCGGCGTCGCGCGCAACGCCACAGTCGACACGACGGTCCTCGGCCACGCGATTCCCAAGGGGACCGACGTGTTCCTCTTCCAGACGGGGCCCGGCTTCTTTTCGGCGCCGTTCCCCATACCAGACTCCCAGCGCAGTGAATCCAGTTTGAATGCCAGGTATCAAGTCGGCTCCTGGACGCCCGAGGCCGAAGATATGACGGCGTTCCGGCCAGAGAGGTGGCTCGTCAAAGATGAGAACGGCAATGAGGCTTTTGACGCCATGGCCGGGCCGCACTTGGCGTTCGGCCTAGGTCCAAGAGCCTGTTTTGGTCGTCGTCTCGCGTATCTTCAGATGCGTATCATTGTGGTCATGATCGTCTGGAACTTTGAGTTGAAACCAACTCCTGAGGCGTGGAGCTCGTGGGAGGCCGTGGATAAGTTGACCACTCAACCGAGGCAGTGCTTTGTGAAGTTGGAGAGGTTGGAGGTCTGATCACGTCTTGGAGGCTACCAGGTTACTCTTGAGGAATCGAATAGGTTGATCTGGTTCGAGTCTTCATAATGCTTCTTCTTTGGGTTGGGAACCTCCTCGAGTCTTTTCTAGCAACTTGGCTTCCCTCTCAGCGGAGTTCCGTTCAAGGTTTGGGCAATTTTCCTGATTATTCCACCATGGATAAAGTAAGGACTACTCTCGTTGTGTACCAGTCGGGGCCACCCCCCACTTCAAGCAGTGGAAATTCGACGAGGTTTTCCACAGTTCATATAGGTATTTGTCCTATATTTCTAACCTTGCTAAATGCCTTTGTGCCGGAATTCTATAGACAAACTTGACTGACACGTGCTCTAAACTTTTGTTTTCAAAGAGGAAGCGACAGTTCATAAATATTTCACTCTTTGGGTCTTCATTGCTCCATTGCGTGACATCCCGGGGGGGGGGGGGGGCTGCTGATTCTGCTCCACGCATCCCCAGTCCCTGCTCGACACCTTCACCCTCCTTTGTTTTACTGCAGCGAAAACACCGCCTTCTTCGCCCTAACTTTCCCCTGTCCAACGTCCACGATGGCCGTCGGCACCGCCTCTAGTCCACCCTGCAACACGAGCGGAGGATGTGGCTTCAACAACCCTTTCAGCACCAGCGGTTCAGCCACATTCTGCCATTGCTTGGCGAACGCGGCTTGCTCCAAATCCGCCGGAAATGGTGGCATTCCAGGTAAATGAAACTCCTCTCCCAGCAGAGTATATGCGAGCGCCGTGGTCGCCTG